GAAAGCAGCGGGTTTGTGGGTTTTTTTTGTGGGTTTTTTTTTTTCGATTCCGCGAGTTGTGTTATCTTGAAAGTCTGAAGCTAACAGTAGCAAAGACGGTGAGAATGTCTTCTCTCAATGGAGTTTAGTTTCAGCCTGAAACAAAAAAGTTGTTCTTCTTTTTTTTGGAGGGCATGGACAAAGCCTGAAGCCGATTTCAAATTCTTAATTGGACTAGCAGGCTCAAAAATTAACCGTTCATGTAACTCTGCCTCACCGTGAGGCTGCACTTGCATCTTTTCACAATTAACCTGAATACATATTAAGAATAGTTTAACTTTGTGATACTAACCAAGAGGTAGAAATGCTGATGCTCTACAGTAGTAGTCTTCCTCCCATCCTCTCCTTCCTTCTCCTCCCATGAGCATATGTAGTTTTGAAGATCTACTGTGCCATTTACTCTGGCAACGGTCATTGATTTCTCCTCCGCTCTACTGGTTCTGTGGCATCTATGTTGAGAATTAGAAATACAAAAACTGTATAAAGCTGGATCCTGCTTAAAATGCTTTGTAGCAAACGAGTTGTTTTTAAGAATGTTGTGTCCGACTGGAAAAATCTGTGAAAACTTTAATTGTGCATAGCATAGCTCCCCTTCTGCCCTCTTGCCTGCTACTGGTAAAGTTATGTTTGTGCTGTGGCCAGGACTCTTGCTGTTTCTTACCTCTACCTGCTGGTCTGTGCCAGGAGCACGCTGACCTTTGCTCGGGGGGATTATTCCTCTGCTGAAGAGCTGCCTCAGTTCCTCAGCCCTCTGGTGGCATTCAGCGGGCTACAACTTAACCTTGAAGGTCACTTAATGCTCTATGTGCTTGTTGCTGTGGCAGAGTGAACTGATCTTGTCAGCATGGTGCCAGGGTGCACCTAGTTCAGCCTGTACTCAGTTACAGCTTTTAGCTTTCTCAGGTGAGTTAAAAGTATTTTGCTTCAATGAAAATTCAGATTCTGTATTTCTGAGCAAGCAGTGAAATTCACAGTAACTTGCATGGCTGCCAAGTCATGAAATGCAGAGCTCTGGCAAGCAAGATTTTGAAGAGTTAGTTTATTTTTGGACATGAATACATAACTTACGGTGAGATTACACTGTTGGAAATATTCTTTTGGTTCCCTGTAACTGAAGGAGTAATGTGTACAGAGTTGAACAGAGTTAGGTCTGTGGCAGTCTCATATCTTAAAATGCAATGTTACTGGTATCTGGAAGCGTGACTGATTCTGTATCTGTTAGCTACAAAGCAGGCACTCTGGAAGGTAAGAATATATGGCTTTTTGGTGGAGTAGAGTATAGATGACTAAATGCAATTGTATATATTGAAATACAGCACTGATGAAAGGTAGTGTGGAGTGTCCAGGGACAGTTTTCAAAAGGGTGGTTTGTATGGTCATGTTTCCAAGCCCAGAGGCTTGGAAAAGGTCAATGCACACCCACAGGGAAGCTGGAAAAGCAGGTTAGGAACAGAACTAAGGTGTATATGTACGGTTAAGTCATATAGGTGTTCTGGAAAACATTCCTGGGATTTGCAGCTGGCTTATTTATATACCTCGTTTTCTCCACTCAATCTTAACAAAACATGCTGAGATTTTGACTTCTATGGTGCATCAGTTGTTGGAGAGCTCTGATGGATAGCTGAGGCTCTCCTCATCTTCTTTATTTTGCCTAAGCAGTAGTGGAACAGTGACATTGTCAAAGTGATAACTTGTATCTTGTTTGCTTCAGGTGCAGTGTGAGCTGGTGCAAAAAGCTGTCTGTGCTACGAGGAAGACCACAGAATGCCTTGAAATGGAGAACAACAGAGAGGACTTTCGGTTTGAGGAGCCATCTAAAGCACCGCTCCACCATACAGTAGCTTTCATAGAACAGGTATTTATAGCCAAATATTTGTAATAAAGCAGCAAAAACAAGGATCAGGTTTCAACTGGCACCAGAGACAACTGATGCAAAATAACTCTCATGAAAGGAAAAAAGTGTCCCTTTCAAAAAAGCAGCTACTCTGCTCTTGATGGGCTCATCAGAGATGGGTTGTTGCTGGAGGCTTAGTTCTGCATAGCACGTCACTCTTGCTTTCTTTTTGCTGCTTTTTGTATAATGGGTGCGACTGCTGTCATCCAAATTTTTTACAGCGTGAAATATATATAAATCCTTTCCTGTGCTCAGGTCTTTAGAGCTGTCCTCGATGCAGTGGTAGGTGTTGTACTTCTTGTCCAGTGTATGTCATTGTGAAAGAACAAGGGATGAGCCCCTTCCCTTGGGGGCAGTGATGACTAAATGCCTCTCCTTCAGGAGCAACTGCACGCTGAAGCCACCACACCAGCAGTTAGGCGCACAGGGAATCATCACCTCAAATTGGCTTTCTGCTAACTAGGTGATGTAAAACCAGTTTATTTAGTCACATGATTAAAAGCTTTTACAGCTCATAAAGGAGGAAAGCTCCTAAGAAGGTAGAAAGAAACACAAGTAGTAGTTGGCTCTCTACCAGTTTTCCCAAAACTTTGCTGCTTCTGAAATGTAAACCGTTAGAGATTTGTATACAGGGTTTCAAAACTTGTCTTATTATAGTTATTAGTATTAAGCTTTAAAAACAAGTACTTGAAGATTAAAGCATAAGTAATTAAATTCATGTATGTGCAATTTCTTTTAGCATACATGTCTTAACGTTGCATAGAAGCCTCTTGCTTTATTAACAACACTGTGTTGTAGATAGTCAGGACTGGATACAAAATGTCTGCGTTTTTTTTGTTTTGTAAAAGTTCTGGGAATAACATGAGGTTTTTCATTTTGAAGTGTAGCTGAGTCTATGTGAATATCTTAAAGAAAAAGTAAGAGAGACTTTAATCCGAATCAGACTCCTACTTTTGCAATAAAAATTCCCTTAAAATTGCATTTGAAGCTGTGCTTTAAACTGATGGTGGATCTACGCGTGGTACAAAAAGGCAATGTCACCGACATGAAAGTGTTATATTGCTCTTTCCAGGTCCTGAGTCACACCTGTGGTCCTGATCCTGATTATCTGGGACTCTTTCCTAATATTTTGAAAAATGTTGGCTTATCAAAATAGCAAGTTTTTAAATAAAAGTACTCTAGTTCTGAGTAAATTTTTGTAATTGCAAATCCAGGTTCAAATTTTGGATTGAGGAAGACACCAATATTCAGTGGTTCATGTCTGTAGTTGGGCTGCAGGAAACCCAAATTTAAGATCAGGACAGCCAAACGGGTTTCGCGGAACACTTTCAGTTGTTACTCCTGCGTTTCTATGGAAAATTGATGTTTCAAGAAGGGAATAAATGTGTGCCGTTTATGCCACAGTATTACAGATACTGTGTAGAAATACTGATGGCTATGACAAAAAGAATAGTTTTCATCTTCCTGTCTTTCAGTACTTTGTTAGCAGCGTTCGATTTCAGGCTGGTCATTATCTCTGCGGTTTGATCTTGAGAGAGAGCGGTTATGAATAGGGGCAGGGATAGAACCGCAACTCTCCTGCCGAGAAGGAAATCTCTTCCTGATTGAAGCCCTTGACAAAACTCCCATCAACTTCAAAGGAGAAGGATTTCAAGCACAGCAACCTGAATGCAGCTGAAATCCACTGTTGGGCAGTTTGGAAAGGTCAAGGTTTTGTGTTGTGTGGGTTTTGTTTTTTTTTTTTTAAAGATTAGAAAGGAAGAGAAAAAGACTGAGAGCAAATCGTGACTAGCGTAAAGAGAAGAGGAAGTTGACAACTAAGTTCACAGTTCATTGCTAAATCTGTGTTTAAGGAAGCTGATTTTTGTGAAATCTGACACAGGCATTCAGCTGGCTTAGGTATTTCTGCTTAAAATGAGAATGGGATTATTTCTCCTTTGGTTTGGTGTTATGGAAACAAATATCTAAGTTTGGTTGTCACAAATAGTATCTGTAGTGCTGTTGCGGCTATTTACTTAACTAGCGTATTCCACAGAGAGAAGTCAATATTTCCCAGCAGTAGCACCTGCTAAAGTTTTTAACTTAAGTGTCTCATGACTTCCAGTCTCCATGTGTTGATCATCTGTGTTATTAAAAAAAAAAATATCTTCAGCAAAACTTGCTTTAAAAATCTGTTCTAAAATTAAAATACTTTAAAACTTTTTTGCAAAGGAGAGACTAAATGAGAAATGAAAATTTAGAGATTTTGACATGAATTTTTGCTCAGTATATACACAAGGAGTTTAATTTATAGCCTTGATATTTAAATCTAGTCTCTAAAATCCAGTGATATCTCATACCCTGACTTTGGTGTTCAGCAACAGAAAAATAAATTCAAAAAATGTCAGTTTTGCTCCTCTTTTCCATACTGGAGCAAACCCAAACCCTATCACATTTATGAAGTTCGAGAAGTTTAACAGCTTAATCTTAAGGGAGTATAACTTCCTTTATAAAGCCACAAATGAACTCATTAAATTAACACCTGACTTACAGGTCTCTAGGGAGCATACAGGCAGCGTAGGGCATGCCCTCTTCATGGATGAGATGGGAACTGGCCCGAGTGAGAGATCTCGGGAAGGCTTTTAGGAGGGGAGGAAAGGCTGCCCTGGGAGCAGGGCTTCTCTGCTCTGAAGCAGCTGGTGGTCCTCAGGTGCAGGCTTGGATGGAGCGTGAACTTCATCATGCTGGAGAAACCATTTGTTACTCTTATCAGGGCCTCATAAATTAGGTCATTGGAGAGGGTTGATGGTTAAAACAGATAAACTGCAGCACTGTGCTGCTCATCCTAGCTTCTCTAGCTCGTATTTTTGCCCGCTTGCTTACACATTGCAGTTGAGTAATAACTGCAAAGCAACAGGTATGCTGAGGCTGCTTTTGTGCTGTTCATGTCTTCACTGTCAAAACAAGCAAAACTGAATCCTAAAAGTGAATTTCAAGTTTGTAACTACTTATGTAAGAGCAGACTTGCATCACCGTTTTCCTTATTGCTTCCCTTTCTATTATTTTTCAGTTTCTTGTTTGTAAATCACTCTGGCACAGAGAGAAGTAAATGGGACACAGAATGGATGTAGCAACGCATCTTTGGCTACTCTAGGCCCTAAAACTGAGTTTGTATCAAGAGTCCATCTCCCTGAATTCTGTAACTCAAAGGTTACTCATCAATTTTGATGTTTGGCAATAAAATACTTTGGGTTTTATGAGGGCCTGAGGTGACTGAAGACCATATGGTGATGAAGATGTACATTCTTCCAAGAAGCTCACTTGGGGTGCTGGTGTGAAGTTTTAATTAATCTGTCTATGGCTTGGACCTGATTCAGCAAAGTACTTTGATTTGAGCATGTGCTTAATTTTAAGTGTCGTGACAAATAGTAACATATTTCAAGTTCCTACATGCTTTCCTGAGCAGAAGTGTATACTGACATAGTTTAAGAAACAATGTGGAGAGAAGTTAGAAAATGTTTATGTGGTGAAAGAAGGTGAAGGATTTAAAATAAATGTGTGAACTGGAACAAAATTCATAATCAGCATCATGCATTTGCATCACAGAAAAAAAAAAATCTTTCAAAAGGATATCACAGGTGCCTATTCCTAGGAAATAGTTTTAAATTTGAGCTTATAGCCTGCAAGTAAACTGGCTTTAAATGGTATATATTAGTGGCTACTAAACCATGGAAGGAGCGTTTGTGCTACTGATAGGATTTTTCTCCTGTTAAGAAGACACTGGGTATAGGGGATATAGAACTGTGTCTGCTCCCTTCTCCCCCTACTCGCAACCTGTTTCTGTTTTCTGAGGGAAGGAGGAGAGAGATAATAAAAATGGTGTAAACTTCTGAGTTTCTGAAGCTGCTCAGTATTCATTTTCAGCTGAGAATAATCTCCATCTACAGTACAATATGACTGAGATTCAAGTACAGATTTGTGTTGATAGAAAAAGAAAATATAAAGCTGATTTTGGTTCACATAGTCACGAGTTTGAGAAGCATGGCTTGGGCTAGCTTGTTCTTTTCAGATGTAAAGAAGCAGTTTGCAGTATGTCACTGATAGCCAAGTTACTGTGATTACTCATTTGTGATGTTACTTCTCCCACTTTGCCTCCAGGTGTTAGTGCCTATTCTAAGCAATAAGGAAAACCATACTTCCTGGCCAGGCTGTGTTTCTCAAGATGTGGAGCATCATCTGGGTATCATGAAAAATAAAACACGTATTATGAAAGGTCTGATGTCAGGAAGTACTCGTCTTCCCATTCCCACAATTGCAGCAAAGACTGACTTGCATCAAATATATGCCGAAAATAAGTAAGGAAAGACTGTTATGTGACCTATGCAACACAGAAGGGGGAATGGGAAAAAGGGGGTGGGGGGGAAGCTCCTTTTGGTGGTTTTCAGTCTCAGATATAAACTAGGAGTAAATTGCATTAGTGAGAAAGTAATTGTTCCAAGCATAATATTCTTATTACTCTGTTTTTCCAAGCAGTAAAAGATGTTTTTCTGCGCAATAAATATATTTTATTTTCTGCGCAATAAATATATTTTATTTTCTGCGCAATAAATATATTTTATTTTCTGCGCAATAAATATATTTTAAACACTGTAATTGCTCTGTCATATGAAAACATGAATTTCTAGGAGTTTATAGTTTGAGTTTATAAATTTCAAAGGTGAAACTTAAGCTGTTTGTAGAGTCACCAGATTTTAGAATCACATGAAGCTCTGCTTCCAGGGTATAAAATAAGGTTATTCTCTTGGATTAGCTTTTAAATGTGTTTCTGATAGATTGCACTCCTCTGTTGCCTTGAGTGTTTAATGTGAACTGAACTTTCATCATAAAAGGCATCTAATTGTTTTCAGTTAGATTAGTACTAATCTCAAAGGACAGCATCAAAAAGGAGCATGGCACTAATCATTGGGATGCCCATCTATTGCCTGTAAGAACAGCAATAACTAAGCTATGTCCCAGAGAACTCGCAGCAAAAGTAAACCAAGGGTCAATTTTGGTTTGGGACTGACTGTGTACAGAGATGATTGATAATCAGTTGTTGAATAAGCAAAGATTTATAATCCTGTCAATAATAAATGACTCTGAAGGTCCTGGTCAGGGTCAGCTCCTTGCTGTGTGTCGTGGCAGTGAAGCAGGTGTGCCAGGCAGAATAGTGTAAGTATGGAGCTAAACCACAGGCAGAACAGATGAATTAGCTTAAATGAAAAGACTGAAGGGGAAAAAATAGAGTGTGAAAGGGAGCTTGTAAGCTTTAATGTTCCCTTAATATTTTATTAAAACGCTTTGCTGAGTGTTGTTAGTTCCTCTTTTTGTAAACACTAGCAAAACGTAGTAAAATTATATTAAATAAGATCTATTTAATATTTATGTTAACGATCAGCGTTCATTCAAACACCAAATTACCATGTAACTTACTTATTAGAAAATCAAACAGTAAAACACAGATTTTTCACATCTAGAATAATTGCAAGGAACTGTTCAAAGGATCTGCTGCCAATAATTTCTGAGAGGGTGTTTGGCCATGGCTTTGATTAGTAAATACATCTGGGAGTGTGATCTGTGTCTTCATAAACAGCCTTTTTAGCTCTGCCTTCAAGGTTTTTTTTCTTACGATTTCCCTCTGATCAGAGCTAAATTCCAAATTTCAGTGTTGTTCACCCTTAAATGTAAAGGGGAGTGGGGCGAGAAGAGCTCTGTACTATCACAGTACAGTACTTGCTTTGAAATTCAGGGGCTTTTTTTCGATTTTGCAGACAAGATCCTAATTCCAGGGCAGTACTACATGCCATTGAACCAATGGTTATTAGGTGGTCACATCAGATTCATGACGCTGTAAGTAGAGATTCTGCCGAACCTCTTCTGCGTGGCCTTCATCCACACCCTCAAACTGAGCTGATCTTCTGGAAAGCAAGAAGAGACAATCTTTTCTATATAAATAAGCAAGTAAGTGATTTCAGGTGTTATTGTAAGCATCACAGAGAACTTTCTTTTGGTTTACCTTTCCCTGTGCACTCTGAAAAATGAGACACAAAATAATTTTTTTTGTTGGATTATTTTTGCAGATAGCTTGTAGTGGTTTCCCAAAGTAATCAGACTTTGCATAAATTACCAAAGAGAAACAAAGTTAAACATTAGAGGACAGTGGACATTACTGATGAAGGGTTATGTAGTTGTGAGAAATTCTCTTGTTTCTCTTTGTCTCTTTTCTAAATTTCTTCCCATGACATTTCTCAGCTGGAGAAAATGAGGTTGAGAACAAAGGTTATGTTCTGGGAAGTTATTGCCAAATGTGGCTATGAAACTGATACTGTTGTTTAATGATTATAACCATAGCTTGTTACAAGTGAAACAGCTCTTTTCAATTAAAAAAAAAAAAGATATGCAAAGTTATTTACTTTCCAAATATGAAATCTTGTTGGGAACTGTGTTTAATCCTCTGCTTCTTCCATGCTTATTATTAGTGGTGTTGCGATATCAGGTAAGTGAACATTTTGAAGAGCCCAGTGAAAGCTTTTGGGGCCTTTCCATGGGTTTCAGCTGGCATGGGTCAGCGTTTATCTGCTTGTAGACCTGACACGCGTTTATTTGTTAATTCTCTGAGTGCAATTGCAAGTTGCCTGAATTCTCCCTTCCGCTCTTTCTACTCTTTTGACAGCAGACTATGATCTTTGGTTGCTTTCTTTCTCTTTTGTTAAATTCTAGCTTCAGAGTCCTGTTGTTCAAAAAATGATTAAGATCTTAAAAGTCAAAGAAAGCAGCTATTATCCTGCTTCTGAGGACATTTTCAAGGAAGTAGAAGATGGTAAGGGTACAGTGAATTAGGTGTATATTTTGTCTGTGTTTATATATGTGTGTGTGTTTCTGAATAATCTATAATTTGTCTTGACATAACAGCGTAAGTCATGATGATGAGATATATCAGGGCTGCAGGGGCATACACATGTTAAATCAAGCTCCTTTGTGTGCTGAGCTGGTTCGTTATTTGTGGAATTTTTTTTAACTTTATGTGGATACTCTTCCTGTCATAAAAATATGTGAGAGATAATAGCATTAGAAAAATCAATTAGCATGTGCATTTTTTCGGCATCGTTTTTGATTCTGTAGAAGTAGTAAATCTGTAGATAGATAAATTCTACTGCTAAGAACAATTAAATAAAACAGCAATAAAGAAATATTTGGCTAATATACTACTTAGTATATAAAATTAAACTTTAATGGAATATAATAAAATCCCAGCTTCTATAATTTTATTCAGTTTGAGATACCAGCTCTGCAAACAGTTTACACTTGCAAGTATTGTCTTGCCTATTGTACTCATGGTTAAAGATCACTGTTAGAATTTTGAAATAAAACCTTAAAGTATTCAGATATTTACATTTTTTTAAGATTTTTTTTATCCCAGTGTTAAAATTTTGATTTCTTAATGGCAGATAATTTTGTATTAGTGAATTGAAATATATTTAAGTGGTTTTTCTGTTGATGGTATGACTAGAGGAAGAGATTGATATCTCTATAGTTCATCAGGTGCCTTTACTTAGCAAATAGTCTACAGTGGGTCTATAGTGCAAAAATTTTCAGGTCTTTTCTGAACTTTTGAGGCCAGAGATGTGTGGAGTACGTACCAGGCAATGGACAGACATTATTCACCAGGACTTCGCACCTGTAGAGGCCGGCATTGCTCTACAACTTTCACTTTAATACAAGTTTTGAGCAGTAAAAGAACAAACTTTATCTACATCGAAGAGAGACCAAACCTAACTGTTTGAATGAGTCTGAATCCTTTCCGTGCCATCCCAGGCCAGCAGCAGCCCAGAGCACACCTGTTGTGCCTTCTGCTGCGAAGGGAAAATAGCACAAACTTCTGTGGTCTATGGAAGGAAATAAGTTGTCAGTGTTTGAACATCTAGCTTAAAGCAAACACAGAGTCCTCTTCCCCTTTGGTGAAAAACACCAAACCATTGAACATATCACTGGAAGGTGCAGTGGAGCACACAGCCCTTTCCAGAATGTCAAGATGCACTTGCCTCTCAGTGCCAGGTTAGTCAGGAGTATTAAGTGATTATCATTGGACCTCTTGTGATCAGATCTGGCCTGTCCAACATACACCCTCTTTAAAACAATTGTAGGTTTCAGGCTATTTTTCTTTCATTCCAAGCTAGAATTTCACGTTTCCATCCCCTGGGTATCTGCAATGATTCCTGCTTCTCTTCGGTCTGCTTGGCAGCAGTGAGAGGTGTTGTTAAGCCTCATTCACTACCAGAAGTGGAATGAGAACCATCCTAGCCACTTACAGAGCCTCTGTGCAGCTTCAAAAGCAATCTTTGGCTGTAACATGCCACTAAAACCTGCATACTTTTCTCTTTAAAATAAATACAGGATAACTTTGCATTCCCCATCAAGGCTAAGTTAGTTTGGAAATTATAATCTCCTAAGGTGTAGCATTTTTTCCTTTTATATTTTTACAGCCCTTTTAGAAGCCCAAGATATTGTTCTGTATCTGAGACCTCTGGAAAAATACATTCAGCTCTTTCGGGCAATAGAATTCCCAAAGATCCATAATTTAATCTCACCTTTATTTCACACCATCTGCCTGATAGGAAGCCACTCCGAGTTCTACAGCGTGCCTGCATGAATAGTAGTTCTGCTGCAGGAATTATGCAATCTGCTTATTGACCAGGTAGCTTCAGTTAAGGGTAATAAACCACAAGAGTACCTAATAAATAAATGTTATTGACATGCAGTACACTGATAACAAATACATGGATTTAGCCTTCCTGTTAGTTGTCTAATAAACACCATAATTACATTATAGATACTTTCAAACAGATTACTAGCTTATTAAATTTGAAGTTGAGGTGAATAATTATTCATCAGCTGCACCATTTACGTACTGTGTATTTAGGAATGAAATATGTTTCTTGTCTAGTGAAAGATAACTATTCTTCAGAAGCTATATAACCTTTTCAGGTTGAGTTGCTACTTCTTACTCCCCTCCCTTTGGAATACTTCTGCTGCCTCTTTTATTGTCATGTTTCTTAGCAGGTATTTCCTTTTGTGGATTGCAAAATGCTGGTAAGAGCTATGCAAATCAAGAAAACAGGGGGTTTGCAAACAAGATGTGAATGAGCCACCTTGGCACGTTTTCTATCCTCCCGTCATCAATAAGCTTTCATCATGCTTCCACTGAAACTGGTTGTTATGGTGGGAGTATGAGAACTTCTGCATACTGGCAAGCATAAGCCATTCTATAGGATTCACTGTTCTCAAGGAACTTCCATTGGTTAAGAAACAGGAGACTTCCCTTCAAAGCCAGCCTGTTGTACTTTCTGAATGGCCACCACAGTCCTCCCTTAGGAACAGCAGGCAGCCAGCCTCTCTGATGCCTCCTGTCTGAGGGGACAAGTGTGCAGCTTTCGGGGTGATCTGTGACCAGGGAGTGAGAGAAGAGACGAGATTCTCTTCTCCTCCTGCGAGAAACAACTCCCGGGTCATGCTTACAGAAGTAGGAGGAGGCTTGCCAGGGCGGTCACTGAACAGGAGCCCCCTGAGAGCATCTGGAGGAGTAAATCTGCCTTCTCTGTTACAGGCTTAGAGCAGAATTGAAGTGCTGAGTGAGTACAGGGTACCTCACTCTTCTTTTCAGGGGGGAGAAAAACATGGCATGAACATCTGTGCGCTGCAGGAATCCTTTCTCTGGCAGGATGGGAACTAGATGCTTAGATTTGTGTGGAGGTGTTACAGCAAACAGGCGAATGTGTTTCCAATATCACTTTTATTTTGGGGAAAAAAAAGTCTTTTTACTCTGTTATTTCTTGAATGTTCACTGTGCAAAATATGATACATAAGGGTCGGTCTAGCTGGTGAGATTTGTAACAGGTTGAACATACTTTGGGAGCATCTGAAAAGTGAGAGCTGTACTATGAGATAATCGACAAACTAGAACAGTTAGAGATAAGAATTATAAAAGATAATACATGTTATTTTTTTTGTTTATATGTAAAGTGGAAAGTAACTTTATGACTGATGTCATGACTACCTTTAAAAAAGTTACTTTTAAAAAAACCCTTTTATTTTGCTGTTCATTTATTTACATTCTAGTCTAGGTTATGTCTTTCACCAGAAAATCTTTTCAAAGGAGAACCTGAAGAAGCATTGGAGCATGTGAAAATAGCTAAAACAACCTTAAAAAGCTTTAAGGATTCATTCTTTAGTCACAGAAACAAATTGGAGAGTTACTTCACCTGTGGCAAGGAATTTAAACCATGGGATTTCAGATCTGAGATGTTGTTTTCCAGATTTGATATGTTCCTCAACCACTTACTGAAGATTGAGATATTATTTATCATCTATGTTGCTGGATAAATATAGAATCTGAGAAATATGGGCTATCCTGGGTTATACAGAAAGTAAGACTTGGATTTCTAGTATACAGAATGCAAAATTACAATGCATAGGAAGAGTTAGGAGTGTTGAGTCAGATGCAAACGTTGCATGCTGTGCAAGGAGCAGACTAGTATTAGCAGTAAGAAAAAAGACAAACATGTTTCCTAAATCCAACCATTCCAGGGTTCTGAAAGTTGCTCAAGTAAAGTGCTACTCCTCAGATGCAGCCCATGGCTGAGATTTTTCTCCTGAGCATGGCACCTCCATAATTTTTTTTTTCTAAGAGCTGAGAAGCAGTCATCACTTTATAGATAACTTTATAGATTAAAAAAATGTGATGTTTTAGACTAATCCTTGGATGAGACAGAATACTCTTCACCTTTCCTTTTAAATCTGTGCCAACAAGCAAGAAAAGATGAAAAATCTGAGATCAGGAAAGGAGTGTAAAATATTTTTCTAATATTGTGGTTAGGGTAGATGGGAGCAGTTACAGCTTCTGGTTCCTGCTCCTGGGGCCTTGTTTTAAGCTTTTTGTGAGCCTGGAAGCAGTTGCAGTAGGAATCTAGACTGGCTGCTGATTAGGGTGCCCTTCTGGGATGTGGGAGATTCACTTTTGGGATCTGAGCTGGAAAATGTTGTACTTCAGCTCTGCAATTATTTAGCTAGTGTGCCTCTCCATCCCACCCCATTAAAATACTGTCAGAGAATGAGAAGTCCAGTCTTACAGAGTCCGACTGCCTGCCACAGCAATCTCTGAAAGGGATTTGGGGTGAATGTCTTGGCTGTCTGTCAGCAGACAAGTCAAGGTGCTCTGGCTGGAGGGGTAGTTGTGAATGCTTGGGAACAGCATCCTGTGCCAGCAGATTCGCAAGGATGGCTGTTTGCTCCCATCGGGAGCATCGCGTCCAGCCGCGGTGCATGAACTGACTCTTGCTAACAGCCTTGGTTCTTGACCATCAGATGGTCCCACAGAGAGCCTGGCCCTGTGCAAGTCCCTTCAGGGTGAGGTGACAGCTGAGTCTTTGCAGAGCTTAATACTGAGAGCGTAGGGGTCTGCGATGTGCCAGGAGTCTGCTTGGGAAACCTGCAACTGGTGTGTTCCTGGAGAGAACAGGCGTTGCACGTTTGTAAACACATGAGGAATCAGTTATTTTCATCCCTTTGGGGCTTAAGACAATTACTTAATTCAAGTGAAACCAGAGACCATAGAAATTGATTTGGCACATGTTTCAAGGGAGGTTAAAGTGGGTTCAATTTTACTCCTCTGAGAAAGATTTATGTTTAATTTTCATAGCAACATTTTCTGTTATGATCATAAATCATGTGTTTAGGAGCGCCTGTTCTTTTTTATCTAGGCCTTTTTTTAACTTAATCTGATACAAATTTATCTTCATTTTAATTTTATATTCTATGAGACAAGTAATTTCTACTTGTGTTTTAATCCTATAAGTGACTCAACCAAGATAAAGCCTTGCTGGAATTACCTATTGCTCCTCCACTTTTTTCATATTAATTATTTAAGATGATACAGATTTTAACATCTCATTCTGCCAAACTGGAAGAGAGAAGGTCAAATGAGGCAAAAAACATTTCAAATGTCAGGTTTGTTACTGGTTTGGTTTTTTTTTTGTAGAGGCATACTGTTAATTAATTTTTGTTCATTTGACCTAGGAAATTTTCATTAACATGTTGGAATTTCAAAAACTGGAAAAGCTGGAGTTTGGTGGAATCAAAGGGAAAATTTTAAGTAAGCAAGTCTGCAGAATGAATGAAGAGTTTCTGGAAAGCTGTGAAGTTTTCAGAAAGAGAACATATGATCCTTCAGATTACAGTAACATGGTAATACTGCACTCTGCGTGTAGGCGTTTGGGTTGTTATTTCCTTGTTTATTTAAAAGTATCTGTGAACTAGGAGGTTGTGAAACTGGGAATTTTATAGTGCTGAATGGAACTAGGCATGAGATAGGCTTCCAACATAGTTGGTTCAGTGTCTACTACTTCTTCCTAAACCAGAAATTCATTTTCTTAACAAAAGATTTCTGGATGCTTTCTCCTGATCAGATGACTGAATTATTTATAAGTGCTACATATGGAGAAGCATTCAGGTGGCTCTCACCAAAGAAATTTGAGTGAATAAACTAAATTCAAGTGACTAAAATAAATTTGGAAACAAAATCGGCCACCATTGCCCAAAATTAAAAAAAAAAAAAAAGCTATTTATTGATGTACGTTATACATTTTTTTTCCTGAGTGTTAGAATTTAATTTATCTGCACGTCTGGTGTAAATAATAAATCAGTTGATTCTGCTTGAAAAATAGAGAAGGTTTTTAAAATGTTGGTATATAGCGATGTCTCGCAATCATAGCTAGAATAATTCCTGACACTATGCTCACTAACAGCCATGGTACGTATATCTGATAAAACAGAAAGAATGTTTATTACTTTTATGTTCTTTTCATAGACTCTTTTTTTTTTTGTCGTTTTCAAGATTTTGATGTTAATTCATAGCTATAAGGATCTGTAAACTTGGAAAATGGTGCTTTCTGAAGGATTTAATCTGCTTTTTAAGATAAATTCAAATAAAGAAGTACCTTGTTGTGTTACGTAGTTGACCTTGCTGCCTGCTGGCTAGAGCATTCGCCTGCCTTCACAGTGGGCTCTGGTCACAGCGTTGGCACTGGGCAGCCGTGCTGGGGAGGGGACCAGCGCTGCCCAAAGAGGGGACCAGCCACTCAACTGCTCCTCTGGCTGCTCCAGCTGGCACGGCCAGCAGAACACTAGCCAAACTCGCTCTCTTCTTCCTTTTTGACCCTCACCATCTTTGGGAGCAGGGAGGTATCGATTAAATTCTTCCGGCAGTGAATGGGCTGGCGAAGCCTGGTCTGCCCCGTCGCAGGTGTGTACCCCAGCTGGGGGAGGTGGGGCAGCGGTGGGGAGGTGAAACAGCCCCAGCACTGGCTGCACATTTAGTGGGTGCCCTGTGATGAGTCTCTTCTTTGCAATCCTGGTGGTGCACAAGGTCACCATTGCAAGCGGGATTTGATCACCCCAAATAATCAACATTAAAAACATACTTTTTCTAATTTGCTGACTGAGCATCATTTAAATGAAATTCTGATTCTCCATCAGATGACCATTTAAATTTTATTTTTTTTTTTAAAATACTTACACTCACCTATTCCTCCCACCCCTCCAAAATTCTCAGGCCAGCTGATTCTCCTGCCTGTGTCCCTGCCATTTCCTGACACTTGTGTACCCACAAGTGGTACTGGGTTTGCAGACGATGAAGTGATGGGCTCAGCCTGCTGGTGGGCATAAGCTTTGCTGGCCTTTGGGTGCTCGGACTGGCTGCGTGATATTTTTGGCAGTGTGGTCAGAAGAGCGAGTGCTGTGTGTTCAAGGAGCACATATTTTGGGTACAGTGTTATTTTAACAGGCAAATTTTCTGAAACAGACCCAAATCTTAAAGTAGTTGTTGTTATTAAAATAATATATATTAATAATAGTATAGTTATTAGCAGAAAATAGAAATTTACTGTTCTGTTAGATGTGGTAGGAAATATATTCTGTGTGTATGCACGCTGATTTTTCTTTATAAGTGGTATGTGGCTTAATTTAGGTAATTAAAAACCCAGAGGAATGGTCGTAAACGAGATTTGAACTAAATGAATGGCACAGGTTTAATTAATGCGAAAGCCCTGCAAAATTGTTAATGTCTTTGGGGTAAAATCCTGGTACTACTTTAAAATCCACGGCAAAGCTTCACATGTCTTAAGGTCAGGACTCACTATACTGTAGTTCTCAATTTCACAGCTCCTGATAAAATCCTTATGATTCACACTAAATTCCTGCTAATCCTTGCACAAAACAACAAAGCTGTCTCAGAAAGAAGAAATGAGAGGCAGCAGAGACCTACTGCTGCTTTTTTATTTTTTGGTTTTTTTTTTGGCCTTCTGAGGCAGCAGGATGCTCTGTAGCATCCTTGTCTGCAGGAGATGTGGTTTCAAGATGCCCCTTCTCAGGTCTGTTTGTAGTTTACCTGGTTTTGCCTTTACCTCTATGGAGGATTACTGCATGCTCAGTATATAAATGTAAATGTCGGTGAGATGCTTGAATAACAGTTTTAATCTGCTAGGTAAAGTACAGCAATTATCATATTTGGCCAGATGATTTTTTGCTGATCCATTTTTGAGGCAATGAGTCTTTCCTTAGTGACTTGACTGACTTAGGACAAAAGCAACCTTTATAGCACACTTCTCAACAATCATTCTGCATTGTGAGTTTGTTGACTTTCCAGCTTTTTGCCAAGTAGAGCTTAGTCAGTGAGTATTAGTTTTTAAGTTTGAGCCGCTCTTACTCCTGTATGCAGGCTTAATGTTGACAGAAGTAAAAGCAGAATACCAAGCACCAATTACTGTGCTGTTTTTACTGTCATGGCCAAAATATCTTTTTTTCCCAGGTTCTTCAGAAACTATTTGCCTTTGTGTTTGACAATACTAATCAGGAGCTTTATGAAACAATAGCTGTCGTCTTATAGCTAATTTGTTTGTCAGAAGCGTCAAGGTTCATGCTATTCAATGTATGATATATGAATAGTGTCCACATACTTCCAAGAACAAGTTTTACATGCCTCTCAATAGGCAACGTGCAGTATGTGTTTGGTCGATGCGTGGATGGAATTGCCCAAAATCCAGAACAGAGCAATGGTCTATTTTGTAGTGTGACTGGGGGATCTGACCTCGAAAAGGATGTTTAGCTTTCAGAGCACAAGTGTGAGCTTCTCAGACTGATTGTCTTGAATGGATTCTTGATGTGTTAAATACATATATATCTTTTTGAATACATATCACAGGCAGTCACAGAACTAAATCTGAATTTCTTTATTTGCTGTGGACAAGTGCATGTAGTTCATCTTGTCATGTGTTTTGAGTATACATGTATGGGTTTGAGCAGTGTGATTCAAAACAAAATCCCAAACAAACCACATTAGTTGAGGGAGAAGGGGTTAGAAAGGAAGAAGATTCTTAAATAAACAAGTTAATTTGATATGTCTTTCCAAAGACACTAGATTTTATTTAAATGTCCACCTTGGCTACTGGTACTTCTGTTTTCTATTTATTTATTTTTCAAGTGGCTTGCAACAGAAAAGAGACACAGCCAAGCTGTAGTGAAAAAAAGAATATTTTCTCAGAGATTATAAATATATAACATATTTAACAAAGGAATAAGTGTAGCTTTACATGTACATGTTACTGTTTGTGTTGCTATTTTAATAGGACAAAGCAGAAGGCACTGGAGCTCTCCCTTCAGAGCCAGCATGAGCTTGCATTAATATGCACCTGTATTTTCTGCTCTTTATCATTTTTCCAAAAGTCTTCATCCGTGAACATGGTCAACTGCCTTGACTGTTAAGAAAGTAGAGCTGTACTATAGAAAATGTCTGATGTTCCCTTGCCTAACACATGTGGTAGCTGTGGATTCTTAAGATAATCTAAATAAATGTAACAACGAGTCAGAGTCAGAAGATACTCTTTACTTGGTGAGTTGACTTCAAGTGTTTGAGTAGCTGAAGTTTGATACTTGCAATATCCTACTTAATGATAATATACAGAGATAATTTGGGCTTGTAAAAACTTGTTGAGAAGTTCTTTGTTTAACGCGAGGTTTAACAGGATGAAACAACATAAAATTAAGGAGTAATGTTACCTGGCAGAGATGACTACCCCTCTTATCAAGCTTCCTAAACAAAGGTGTCACTAGTATACACATGTATTGATCTTGCCCTGGTACACACACATATAGATCTGATGCTGTTATTTAAAAATAATCTATATTGCTAAGCAAATTCTTCAGTTGTTAACTCAGTTTCTGTAAAAAAAAAAAAAACAAACAAAAACCAAAAAAAACCAAACAAACCAAAAGTGTTACTATTAGATAGCATTGCTCATCAATTAAAATAGTACTGAAAACCGTGAAATACAACAATCTCTGAAGTTTCTTCAGTGACAGAAGTAAGCTATGTATTTAGCACAACCATATGCTGCCCATTAGCTTGTCTTTGCATTGGAAAGACATGCGTTTTAAACTTTTTTTAACATTACAGGAGTTTAAAGATAATTATACTGAATTTAAAGCCAAAACTCTGGATCTTGACAGTTGCCTTGCCTCAGTTCTTTGTGTAGGATTTCATGACTGTTCAGGTTTGGAATCCATGTTCAAGGTCAGTACTCATACACATGAAACTGTTCTTCATTTATTAGTAAAAAAAGTTTTGTGCATTGCTTAAATTATGCTTTCTAGGTAAACTGTTTGTGAATTGAATGCCTTGGAATACTAACAGGTATTTCAGCTGCAGATTCAAACTGAGTTATTTGATTCTATTCTCTTTTTAGTGATGTTCTGAATACAGGTTCTTTCCAGAAGTTAACCCATAGCTAAGGCCAGATCTAAAGCATAATCCAAAGAGAGATTCCCCGCTCACTAACATTCTGTTTTGCACTTCAATGCATGAGGCACAGAAAATCTCATGGATGGCAGATGTGTCCAGGCTCTGCATCCAGTGTAGCATGTAGTTAGCCTGGGTAATTGGAGCGTGGTTCTGCAGTAGTATTAATTATTCTCAAGCAGGAATAATTAGAACGTAAGATAGGGAACAACTGATTAGAAACAGTTCTTCAAAATATGATTTAGGAGTTGTCATGTGTAGAACCTGAGTAAGTGATGTCATGTTATTAAGAAAGAGGTAAGTATTTAAGATGTTCAAATGAGTGATTGTCCTGAAAGGCATAAGGAGAAATCTTGCATTTTAATCACCCTGGATAAGGCCTCCAATGGAGTATTGTGCCCAGGTATAAGTATTACACTTCAGGAAAGACGATCTGTTGATGGTTATTGAGGTTTAAGAAGAAAAAACAGAGAACAGACATAAATTTTCAAATACATTAAAGACTTCTGCATACAGGAAGGAAGTAGTCTGTTCTCTACATCCAAAACATAATGAACTTAATTTAAAGTGCAGAAGATTCAAGTCTGATGACTGGAGAAACCGCTTTATGCCAAGCATAATGAATCGCTAGAATAGATTACTAGGAGAGGGGACAAGCTCTTTCTTCATTACTGAAAAATCTTTCAGGGAGGGCTAGAAGAAGATCTCTTGGAAATGGCACAGGTGTAGCAGACCTCGTCTTGAGGCAGGAACACAGACTAATTAGTCTTGAAGTCCCTTTTAGACATATGTTTCTATGACATTGTATGCATCATACTCAAACTGTGTCAAAACATTCCAAATTAGTTGTGGTAAGTTTAGGGCAGTGATCATCAATACTTAACTACAAATTTTGAGTAAATTAATTTTCTTTAGATTTTGTCACTTTTGACATTGTCAGCAATTAAATGACTATCTTGCATTTAATGCTGATGTTTACCCTGTTTCATATCCAAGCTTCTTTTTCTCTCTGAATACATATAATACATACAGAATTACAACTACTTTTTCAAAAGGCAGATAACTTGTCTTAACTTTAATCATAACAAGGAGAAAGAAGACGACTTATCCTCAGAGAAGTCACTTCTACTTCCCTCTTGTTTGGTAATTTTTTACAGCAGTGGGCTTTTTACCCATAAAAAACATTAACATATAATTAAGACTTTGAATTTGTGTGAGAAACTGGAGGAAGAGGCTAGGGACCTAGAGAGAGAGAATATATCTGGAAAAATGGGAGAAAACACACAGATTAGAAACGTGCAGGGTAGAATTTAGAAAGTACCTAGAGTATGGGGTACATGCCTGGACCTGGAAATCCTACTTCTGTACTTTCTAGGATCTAATCTAACCTATCATTCTTTAGCATTCTAGAATTCATTTGTTTAGCACAACTTAAGAGCATATTTGGAAGTGTGTGTTCTGTTTGTCAGCATGTGGCACATACTCATAGTATAGCTTGGTACAGTTCCAGCTTGGTACTGTTCCATACTTGTACTTCAGAAGCATTTTGGATGAGATTTCAAGTAGAGAGAAGAGTATTACAAAAGAGAACTCTAACGCTTACTTTGCTGTTTCTTTTCGTTTTTTCCTTTATTTTATTTTTAAGCTTTTAACTATTTTTGGAAGCTTTCTAAAAAAACCTGTCATCGTGGAGATATTTAGCCCAAATTACAATATTTTAATGGAAATGTTTTCTGAAGAACTGAATAACTGCAGATGTATACATGATGAACACATTAAAAAGGTATGCCACAACGTCAAAATAAAAGATTGTGTTCTTTTTGGTGCATAATGGCTTAATTTCTGTTCTAATAAGCAGGCAGAAGAAGGGAATGAAATAATTAACACAAATATGCCAGTTACTTCAGGAAACCTTAAATGGTCTGAAGAACTGAAGGAACGAATACAGACGTTTTGGTCCTACCTCTCATCTCTGCCTCACTTGTAAGTGTTCATAGTCACTGATTTAGTGGAAAGTTAACAGCCTTTAAATAAGGCATTGCTAATCACCAAGCAAGCGTGATCTGCATAACGTGGTCTGTTACTCAAGTAAACGTCAATGTTGTGCATGTGTCCAGTTAAAATTTCCTGGTATATTCTGGAAAATTCCTGTTTCTGCATTGGAATGCACTCGGTAGTACTCTCTGAATTGATTTTTAATAACTGTAATAGATTTACTTAATGATTGGTTGGATGAGTCGATAACTAGCAAACCCAGGAATTTCTCTGCTTCAGGACAACACTAACATATTGCACGTAAACAGCATTATTGTTCTATGGTGACAAGACTTTCAAAGATAATTACATGGGACCTAGACATCCAAATGATTTGGAAATTATGTCACATCCCTTCCTTCTTTCCTGAGCCTTAGGGAAATGTGCTTTTAGGTGGCAGCACAAAGAATAGAAAGCTTCCGTAGGAGCATTAGACACACCTGATTTAAATTATTGAGTAATAACGATTCCAACTGTTGACGACTGACATAGCTAGTAATGTGCAAGGGGGCATATCCTCCTTTTCCCTTGAGTTTTAATTGTTCTCTCTTTTTGATTTATGCATCTCTTCTCCTCTAGTTCAATTTGGTAAAGCTATGGTTAACTTAAAAATGGCCAGCATACACAGACCTTCATCTAAAAATGAATAATGTGGGAAACGAAAACTTTTCACTGGAATTTGTTTATGAATTGCTGTCATTAAAAGAAGAAAACTGATTAGGCATGGTCTTTTGCTTTGCAGAGGCTTAGAAAGTCCAGAAGTTGCTTTTATTTCTCAGAAATATGTGGAGATGTTGAAATTCCTTGACCAATATGAAGATCAGACCTACTGTGAATGGAAAGTTCAGGTGGATGAAATTTGTCAGTTTAATTTAGACCAGACTCTAATTAAGTGTAATCCTGAAAACCGCCTCCTGAGTGTGAATTTTCATCCTAAGGTATGTATGTATAATGGTAGTTAAATCTGTATATGATGATTCTGTTTGAGGTCATATTCATGAAATGACAGTGATATACTACAGCATGAGAAAATCTTAAAATCTTACATCTCACTTGTTTTGTTGTCTTTGTTTTCCAGTTGGGAAATCTGGTTGCCCTTTACCTGCTCAGGGGAGAGTTCTTACTTTAAACAGTAAAGAAGGTTATTACAGTAGTAAATGGTTTTTCCCCAGAGACACAATAATGACAGTTAGCTCTTACCCTGTAAAATGCAGTAGTTCTTTACGTTATCAAATTTCAAAAAACCCTGAAATCCTTACCCTTAAATTGCTGAATGCTAATTAAAAGATGTGTCCTGTGCACTTTCTTATACTCTAGTCATCAAAAAGGTGTCTTAATGCCTTTTTATCTGAGATTAAATACAAAGTAAACAAGAAGTCATTGTGTTGAGGCTTCTGAAAGGATAAATGTAAGATAAACTGTTTCTTTCCTTCTTCCAGCTTGTGGCTTTATTGAGAGAGGTGAAGTATGGCTTGATGTTGAACCAGCCCAGTATTCCAGATTCTGCTTTAGCTATATACGAGAAAAGGAACAATTTTGCAAAGGTTCGTGGTGGTGGTATATATTAGCAAAGTGTTGTTTGTTTTTTCTTTTTTCTTCCCCCTGTCCCTTGCAACTTGCATGCATCTGTGCGAGCACGCACATGGCTCTAACTGTCCTCTTGTTCTTGTTGAAAGGGAATATCATGTCTTTGTCTAACGAAATCCCACCTGCAGCTTACGCTTCAGCTTGCAACGCTGGCCGCAGCTGAGCATTAGATACTCGGGGACGCTGCCGGTCTGCATCTTCCAGGCTACGGAGCCAGTTGCCTCCCTGTAGCTTACCTTTTACCCAGCAGTGTTCAAGGTCCACGTCTTCCCTTTCATAGTGTGTAGATGTGAAAGGACCTCCCTCAAATAGCTGTTCTGCCCAGAAAAGTGCATATATCATGAGTGGGATGTTAGAGGGATCTCATCCTGTGCGTGTCTTTCCCGTGAACAGTGTATTGGAGATCTTGAACTTGCCGTTCAGCTGTACAACGGACTAATGCAGACTACTCTGGAGGTAGAATATCCTCTGATTGAAAAAGAGCTGAGAACTATTGATGACCAGCTGAAAGAAGCAGAAGAAATATGCACGTGGCAGGCGACAACCTGCTGGGACTGCAGCAAACAAGTGAAAACGTCTATCTGTGATTTGGAGCAGAGTTCAACAATCAAAGGACAATGTTAGATCAATCCAGGGAATTATAAATGCTTGGATGGAACATGCCCTCTTTTTCAGGAAAGGTAAAAAAGAAGCTCTGTTGTACCTGGATGACAAAGGAGAAAGACTTCCTAAAATATACAAAATGCTGCAAGAAGATAGCTACCAGATCCATCGTCTTGTTGAGGTAATGGCTAAGTGAGCTGCATGTTGATGTGGTGATATGGTTGTTAAATATTTGACTATTAATACTTGGTCACCTGTATATTTTTATTCAATTACTTGTTTAATTGCACAAACTGCATAGAAGTTCTTTTAAGACTGATGTTTGAAGATCGATAGGGAGGAGAGAGAACAATTTTGGCAACATCTGAAAAGAATGTTAGTGCTTTTAAAAGTTGGGAGATTGGGAATGGCTGGCAACCTGCAGTCACGCTAGTGCTGCTGTCTCATTTTGTTACCCTGAGCTGTGTTGTTCTCATGATCCCCATGGGTAAAGTAATTTCTGCAACTGGAGAAATGGTCCTGAAACACTTTTTTGCACTGGATATATTGTGAAATAATTTTAATTTGAAATATGAATATTGCTCCCTTATATGCGTAATTAAAAATATACAACAGATAATTTAATTCACTGTTTTTTACTTATGAATGCTAAATCAAATTATAATATCCTTATATATGAACTGCTGCGTTTCATTACTACAGGCGATATGTCATACAGTGACTGAGTCGAAGGACCTAATTTGAATAAGATGTGAATGCAGAAGCAGACTTTCTTTGTCTCTTTGCCCCATTTTTGCTGATTTTTTTGAGACCTGCTTCTATGTCTACTGCATCAAATTTTTGTGTCCATTATAAGCATTAATCTTAGTGTTACCATTTGAAGTGTACCTTTTAGTTCAGTTTCAGACCTAATTTTATTTGTATTACTGTCTTTATTTATACTATTGATATTTATTTTAAAAGATCAAAATAAGGTTTCTTTTTAACGTTTAGTTAACTATAACAAGGGTTGGTACTGCAATGCAGAACAAGCATGCAGAAGTATTCTTACAAATTGTGGATATTCCATCAAAGTTGCTGTGTTGTATGGTAGTTTTTCTGCCAACCTATAGTCTTTTCAACACAGGGATACCTTCACTCTTGCACTGAGTTTTGCTAGTGTAAATACGATTCCAAGGAGGTTCAGGAGTCTCCTACACTGACCAAAGTATGGTTCAGGAGCACACTTGACACAAAGAATATTAGTGTTGTTTTGTGGTATGCATCAATTATATAAACTAATACTGAAACGAGGGGTATTGAATGAAGGTATATGTTAACACAACCACACATTACAGTACTTTTCAATTGTTGTTTCTTTGTTTGCTTATTTAGAGAGATTTAAAGCTCTTCAAAGCAGATTCCTCCTCAGTCTCTTGGAAGATTTTTATAGAGTACATTGATGACATTGTGGTCGATGGTTTATATAACGCCATAATGCGTTCTTTAGACTTCTTTTTGAAGAACATAGAAGAAAATTTGAAGCCAGCTCCTCTTTTTCAAGCACAAATGATCCTTAATAGCACAGAGATTCAATTTAAACCTTCTCTAGATAAAGAGGCTGGTGATGGTTTTTGTGACCTTGTAGATGAACTCCTGAGTGATGTTTTCCGAGTGTCTGCCCAGGTGAAAAGGGTAGCAGCACATCTGGGATCAGAACATTACCAGGTACAGCTTCTCCTCTTGTGTTTGGAAATAGTGAATCCAATTAATTGTGAGCTGTGAGAAGTTTATTTTTAGCTGCAAACTCATTTAATAGCATCAGTCTTCAAATCCTGAGCCTCATCTGTTCTCTCAGTTATGCAGTTTATAGAGGCATAGTCTCATTCATTTCCAAAGGCTTTCACTCACTTCTACATCCATGAGCAGCAGAATGAACTTGTCCATTTTACACAAAGCTACTTGAGATTAACTGAATATTTCTCTCTCGGTTCCTGTGCTGTGAGCTTCCACCTTGGGTGCCACGTTGAAGTCTGTAAATCTGCACATAGTGGAAACCTAATCTCTTAGACAAGTAAAGGAGCATCCAATAAACTGGTGGTCAGAATTATATATAGTCCATGGAAAGTTCAGCTTTGAATAACTTGCGAAGGATATGTATTTGGTTTAGTTTTATGTGTTCATACAATGAAACATAAACCCAAAATACAAACAGCTGAGTGAATTGTAGTTTTTCTTGTTAATGTGTCTCTGGGGAAAAGAGGTGGAATTCCAGTCTCTCATCTGCATGTAAATTTAACCAACTGGTATTTCTGTCTCATTCACTGAAATAACAAAACGTTTCTTTTGGTGCCTAGAATGATATGGACGACATGTTTGATCTGTCTGAAATCAGGCAGGATATGATGGAGAGAGTGGCAAATGTAACCAACAAAGCCTTGGAGTAAAGAAAATCTCTTGCTAGCTACGCGTCTCTCTGGCTGGAGGACCGGTCTCAGTTTATGAAGCAGTTCCTTCTCCATGGTAGTGGTTTAGCATCAAGAAAGATGCCTCTTACTGACAAAGTCTCTCGACAGCCTCCCGCTATTAAACTGTTTAAAGAGCAGGCAAGAAAGCAACTAGTCTTTAGTAACTGGCTATTTAGTTAGGGGAAAAAATTGGAGTATATACATTTATTTCTCTCTCTTCTGCTCTAGATTGACATCTATGAAAATCTTTATGTTCAGATAAGCAAGTTTGAAGACTCGAAAATTTTTGACAGTTGGTTTAAAGTAGATATGAAGCCTTTCAAAATGAGCTTGCTAAACATTATTAAGAAATGGAGCTGGATGTTTAAGGAGTATCTCTTGATTTGTCATCATTAGGTAAAATGAAGTGTGTGTGTGCGTGTTTAAATGCACTAAAGGAATATCTGTAAGTTTGGGGTCTTTTTACATGTAATACTTCAATAAGCTAGATTTGCAGCTTTTTTTATTTTTGTTTTCTTAGTGGTTTTATAGTGAGTTGTTTGTTCATTTGTTTTTTTGCCAGATGTTGTATTTGCATATCCTGTTGGGTTAATTCTCAATAGTAGCACTTGTCATCTCTGGAAATCAGGCCCAAAATATCTTAAAATAATATAGTAAAAACTGTATTTGTTTTATTTTGTAAATAACTACACTTATTTTGTTAAAACAGTGTGTAAGTGCCACTAGTAGTACCAGTAGGGCTTACTACATATTTATTCACTATAGTAAGGAATGTTTACTCTCTTGTAATCATACCTTTCTCTTTTTGTTAGTCTGACTGACTTAAAAGAATTTATAAAAGTGACAGATGCTGGACTCCAAAGAGAGGTGACCGAGGGAGATTATTGTGTGCTGGTAGAAATCATGGGCCATCTCTTGGCTGTGAAAGAGAGGCAGACAACTGCTGATGAACTCTTTGAACCGTTAAAAGAAGTGGTTGCACTGTTAGAAAGTTATGGACAGAAGATGCCAGGCGAAGTTTATGCCCAGTTAGAGGTACTGTAGCAGAAGTAATATTTCACGTTTGCATTTGCGTATATGGTCCTGAAATAGCAGTATTTGATCTCAGTGATGTGAAATAATTCCATTCTCCTCATTCCTTCTCAACTGCCAGCAATAAAACAAGGTAGCTTTTCTTATATTCTTTAAAAGACTTGTTTTATGTGAATAGTGGAAAATCAGTTCAAAAAGAGATCTGCCACATTTTATTCTAGTGAGGTCTGTAGTTATTTTTTGCCTTTTTTTTTAAAATATATTGACCAGATCATGTTCACATTCATAAACCTTCTCCCTGGAGCTGAGCCATATAGAAACTCTAGTAAGTGTGTTTCCTATATTGCTTCACCTTCTCAATATAGTTAATAGTAGCTTGGGACTCTATTCAAACATGGATACAAAAGCTGGGATTTGATGCCTGTCAGGAGATACTGTCTTTCAGACATCTCAGCCACTTTTTTCTGTATGTGTATTCTGCCCCATACTCGTTCCTAGCTGTAATTATGTTGGGCAGGAAGTGAAATTTGGGGAATTAATGGAATTAAACAAAACCTGGGGGTAGGAATAGATGGGAAAGCACTACAGCTGCAGTGGTCCCTGCTGACACTAAAAGAAGAGCTGAGTAAGCTATGGCTTCAGATCAGCACCTGCTTAAGGGAGATCCGATTTGCTCTGTTTTGGGAGATGCACTACACTGTAAATGATGTTAAACAGAATTAAGTGGAAGTTCAACTAATGCTTTTCATTAGATAATCTAAGTAGTCAAAATGAAAACTTCTCACCAGTTGCAGTGAGTTTCCCAGTCCATAGTGAAATTTATATTTCTGTGTCTGTCTGGCCCAAACCAGATCAAGGAGATGACTGGGAAAATAAATGTACAGTTTTGATATATACTTTAAACTAGTCTTCTAGTTACTGTGAAGTGACTTGGAACCAGGCTTCTCTTTCTTGTACTTTCTTTTGACACAGATAAAAAAACCTGTCAAGGTTTGGGTTTTGTGTGGTTTTTTTTGTTGTTGTAGTTGTTTTTTTTTCATCCTGATGGAATGGTTTTTGTTGCATGATTTGCTGAATGTTTTTTCTAGAAATCTTGGTGACATGTATAGAATGAGAAAGCTATTTCCAGGTCAGCTTTATATATTTGAAAATGTTTTAAAACAGTAGGAGTGGAGCTCCCTGTTTTACTATGTGGAAGACTGCCAATGTATTTTTGAATGAAATTTTGTGTGATTATAGATAAAATAACTGAATTTGTTAAGTTCAAGTAGTTTATGATTACCAATGAGCCATAAAAATAATAATTAAAATTAATTAAAATAATTAACTAATACATAATAAATCAATTAAAAATAATTATAGTTGACAAAAATTCTAGTAAAATTACAACATAGAGTATAGTTTGTGGTTAAATAAATCCTCCACTATAATTTCTTATTCATAGGCAGACGTTGGGGTATCCTCACTGTTAACATACGATTTCACTGATGTTTTTCTGACATGTGTGATTTTATTTTTTTCCTCCAAGATAATTTTACTCTGTTACATAGGAATTGCCTGAAAAATGGAATGCTGTTAAGAAGAAAGCTGCTTTGGTAAAGCACAAAGTAACTCCTCTTCAGGCCTCTGAAGTTGTAGTTATCAGAAGAAAATGCACTTTGCTTCATGTACGTTGAATTCAGTGATTAGTCTTTTTTATCTCTGTTTTTTTTAACGAGGACATGATCAGTGACAAGTGTTATTACCTGTATTTCATCAGGGGAAGCAGATGGAATTCAGAGAAAGATTTAAAAAGGAAGCTCCCTTTCAGTTGGGCGCAGAAAATGCCTATGCTCATCTTGATAAGATAATGGGGAATCTCAGAAAAACATATTTACTTGTAATCTTTCAGTACTAAATCTAATGATATTTCAATGCACGTATGAAAATATCTGTGGCTTGTGGGTTGAGGTTTTTTGGTTTGGGGTGGGTTTTCTGTTAGGTTTTTTTTGGGGGGAGGTGGTGGTGGTTTGTTTTGGGGTTTTTTGTTTGTTTTTGTTTTGTTTTGGTGATTATTTTTTTTTGAGAACCTATTATAATTCTAGCACCACCAAATGTAGATTTCCTCTTGTTTCTCTTCCAATGTCGCATATACTCACTGACAAAATAAAAAATTTCGTAATACTTGTTCATATTCTTTATTCAAGTTCCTTTAAAAAGTCACCATAATATTCTCTTGAATACAGTAGCCTAAAGTGGAAGATATTTTTAAAACATCGTGAAGGGACTTTGTTAACATTTATACAACTTTATGTAGAAGTGGTTTAATACATTAAGAGATTAATCACAAGAGTATAAATTAACTTTTTTCTATGCAGCTTTTCTTCTTATGATTTGAATGTGGAGCCCTTTGTATGCCTTTTGGGTACTTTCAGAGACAAGGCAAACACAGCTTTTTAGCCTCCGCGATAATTGCTCTCAGTTTTTCTTATATTGAATCATACATACAGGATCCATAGATTTTACTGCCAGGTTTGGGTAAGCTCTATATTCCCTATAACTGTACTTTATTGAGTGCTCTTTTCCTCTTCAAGGCAAATCAAGAGCTCGAGATGTTCGAAAAAGAAATATTACTAATGCAGGAATCTGCAAAACTATTTGAAGTAGCTATTCCAGACTACAAGCAAATGAAACAATGTCAAAAAGAAGTGCAGTTGCTCAAGAAAGTTTGGGATATTAGTGTTTATATTAATGTAACATTGTTTTTAAAAAATTAATTATAAAGTTAGAATATATTCTGAATGTTATATTTGTAATTTGATCCTAGAAGTGTTTATAGTTTTGATTTTAAAAAGAAGTTAAAATACTGAAGATTTTCATATTCCTTTTGTTTTTGAAATTATAGTTACTATGTTTTAGAATACCTGGAGTAAAACCGTCTGTTCTCAAGTCAACCAATTTCAAGATAATCCCCAAGCAAAATAACCTTTGTCATTTCATTTTGAGCTTTTTTAATACCAATAACTTGCTTGAATAATTAAAATCAGAGAGCAGAAATTCAGAATACCAGAAAATTCCACCTCAGAACTGCGGATTGTACGTTAGAAAGCTGCAGAAGGCCAGAAGCAAGAGGCCAGAAAAGTCGATGTACAGAACTGTATGAGAAATCAGCCTTGTAAGGTTCTACTTACTTCAAGAAGTTGTTTTTCGTAGGCAAGCTTACAGATATAGGTTCTAGACTTTCTTTCCGTAATTGTTTGCCTAGCGTTTGTGTTGCCAGGAGGAGGTTCAGGGCAATTTCTGCCACATCTCCCAGCTGCATCTGTATGTTATCAATAGAGATGGGTGTGTTTAATAGTGCAAGAAAGGCGTGTATGTATACCTGTCAGAAACTGAAGTATGAAATTGTTTAAATGCTTGGCTTTTGGGTTGAATTTTGAGAAGATGGATCATTTTGTATGCTTTGTAGGTAGTTGTGTAGGATTGGAAAAAATAAGATCCAGGAGTTATTGCTTTGTGATGGACTTTCCCCGTGCATCCATTTATCTGTTACATATCAGAAGCTTGTCTTTACCAAATGTTCATGACACTTTTATCTGTACTTTCTGTTTCAGAGCAGCATTGATGATTGGACTAAAACCCAGTGGAGACAGATTAATGTGGAACAGATGGATGTGGAGCTCAGAAGCTTTGCCAAGGTAGGTTCCATAGCTGTCTCTTTTTGCAGTTTATCTGTCTCAGTGCCACCCCTTCCTCAGTCTTCCCACCCACTTTGATGTTTCAGTGGATTTGTTACTCATGTCCAAATTGAATGTTCTGGAACATGTTTGTTTTGGGAGGCTTTTCTTTAAAACTTTATTCTTCTGGATGAGTTTCCAATCCCGGTGGAACCATGCTGTTGCTTCTCTGAATCGAGGCAGTATGTGATAGAATAAAAAGGGTGGAGTTTTGTGACAGTCCCCACCAGATGAAAGTCATTATTTTTAGAGACAGGTGGAATTTGCAGAGGTTTATCCACTCTGCTTTTAGAGATAGCTCCAGAGTGTTGGGAGTTGCAGCAAAGATGCTTATTTTTAAAGGGAGGACATTTTCTTTGCTTGAAATATTTGCGATGTTTTGTTGATAGTAGCCCTGCAGAAGACAGTTCCAATGGGACAAGGGAAGTATGAAGCAAAAATAGCAACAAAGGCCTCTAAATTATTTGCAGGACACTAAAGAAATAGCTCTGATTCATAGGCAGTATAGTAGTTGAGTATGGAAGGAAGGAAGTCTTGAACCTAATGGGTATAAACTTTCTTCTTCTTTACATGTTTGCTTCATTCAGGAATAACTAGGTTTCATTGCATGCCCAATTAGTAGTGCTTTAAAAGAAGAATCAAACTTACAACAGATCATAGAATTGTAGAATGGTTAGGGTTGGAAGGGACCTCAAAGATCATCTAGTTCCAACCCCGCTGCCATGGGCAGGGAAACCCTCCACTACACCAGGTTGTCCAAAGCCTCATCCAACCTCATCAAACTTCCAGGGATGGGGCATCTGCAACTTCTCTGGGCAACCTGTTCCACTGCCTCACCACCCTCTGAGTGAAAAATTTCTTCCTTATATCTAATCTGAATATGCCCTCTTTCAGTTTAAAGCCATTTCCCCTTGTCCTATCACTACATGCCCTTGTAAAAAGCCCCTCTCCAGCTTTCCTGCGGCCCCCCTTTAAGTACTGGAAGACTGCTATAAGATCACCCTGGAGCCTTCTCTTCTCCAGGCTGAACAGCCCCAACTCTCTCAGCCTGTCTTCATAGGAGAGGTGTTCCAGCCCTTGGATCATCTTCGTAGCCCTCGTCTGGACTCGCTCCAGCAGCTCCATGTCCTTCTTGTGTTGGAGACTCCAGAGCTGAATGCAGTATTCCAGGTGGGGTCTCACAAGATGTCTTGGCTTAAATCGCTTCAGAATTATGGACTCCACTTAGTTCTGATACTGGGGGTTGTCATGCTGTGATCGGGGTAGTAAAAGAGAGGAGAGAGTTGAGATGACTGCGTTCTCCTTCTGCTTTTGCGTTTACTGTGGCACATATGCCAGGTCATGGAACAGAGAAGAAACTTATCACTGCCCATGAGCTGATGACTTATATCATGTTCATCATGCTGTAGTGTGCATGTGAGTCCCCCTTACCCCTCTGAAAGGTGGTTTTGAATTATTTTTAAATAAAAAAATAAAAATTATTTTTTAAAATTATTAAATTTATGGATACTTTTATCTGAAGTGAAATAATCAATAAGAAAATTAGACTTACATCATCAGGGCTGTAATAAAGGAAATGGGTCTGATCCAACTAATAATAAAATCCCTGTGTAAATATAGTGTTAATACGGTTCCATTACTTTAATTGCCATATTGGAAACTACATTTCCAGAGCCTTTGCTTTATCTGCCACATAAACCAATGAGCCAAGTAAAGTTGTCTCTAGCTTTGTGCTAACTACAACTGTCCCATGCATCCGCATAAGAAACAGGAAAGTAGAGCTTTCTAACAAACCTCTTAAATTTTTCGTAAAGTTATCAAAAAGGTGGTTGCTAGTGGCAAGTAATTATTGCAATTATTTTAATTTCATTCCTTAGGAAATGTGGTCTTTGGATAAAGAAGTTTGTTCCTGGGATGCATATAGAGACTTGGAGTTAAAGGTGAAGAACCTGATGTCATCATTGAAAGTGGTATTGGAGTTGCAAAATCCTGCAATCAGAGAGAGACACTGGTACCAGGTCATGAATGTGACAGGAGTAAGTATTCAACCGAAGAGACCATGATGATGGTCCTTCATGCTCTACCCAGAGATGCAGTAGTACTGTCAGGCATGTGGTAGAGCCACTGCTGCCAACTATTTGACGTAAAGTGGAGCAGAGATTGAGGTTTCGAACAGAGGCATCTGGTGGGTTGAGAAGTGAATTTGTAGTCTCTGCTCAGACCAAAGGACTCAATTCTCTGAAGGCAGACCTGGATTGCTAAATTAGATGGTTCTTCCATACCTGACACTCTCCCTGCTGAGCCTGAAAATATCACTAAGCTTGAAAGGTTCTCTGTCTTGTCTGGGACAGGGGAATGAATACTTCCCAGTAATAATTTCTATTAAAAATTTGTGAAAAAAAAAACAAGCAATGTGGCTGGAAACTTTCCTCCATAGCAAAATAGAATGTTTCTTAATAGTAAACAGAGGAAATGATGGGCAGAGGGAAATGAAAGGTAAGGAGACAAAGGCCACCTGAAATATCAGCCTACTAGAAAATTTTTTAAGAATTAGTGCGTAGGAAGACTATTGAGCTGACAGTAGGTAGGGGGGAAAAAAGAAAAAGAGGGAGGAGAGATGTATACGTTTTATCCAACTGTTGATCACAGAGCTGTAAACCCAAAGTTTGTAGGAGTCAAAAAAGAAAAGTTTTTTCAATTTCTCAGAAAGAAACCCAGTGGTTTTGGTTCATAGGGTATAACATGGACCAGCTGTTGGTTTTCAAAATTTGAATTCAAATTGTTTTAACCGTTTTGGAAGAAAAAATTGAAATTCAATTTTCAATCTTTTTGAAAATGAAGAAAAATGAAAAGCTGAAAAAAAAACCACAGAAGAGAGTGAGCATAACAGAATGTTTCTATTCCAATATGCAAGCATTTTTCACATACAATTTTAATAAGAGCATATTTTGAATTATTTTTCACATTTTAAATTACTTTTAATACAGAAATCTTGTAAACAGGCCTAGCGCAAAATTTTTGTGATTTTTTTTTTACAAAAAATGAATAAAGGAGAGACTGTTGTCAGTCTTTTCAAAGCCTTGATTAAAATGTTAAAGTTTTTTTTCTTAATTGATATCTTACAAAGCAGTAACAAAATATGGCAAATACCCTCACCTCTCCCCAAGATTTCTAGTGTTCAAATACTGTGCCTGTAATTTACGGCAACTTCAATGGCAGCTGTGCAAATAAATTTGACTTTTAGTGTTAGGATACACAATCCATCACAGTGCAAGACAAAACAAAAAAATAAAGTAGCAGCATCAAGAAGTATTTCATCTAGACTGATTAAGTTCGCAGTTTTGGTGCAAATCTGAAAGCGTATCCAGTATCGAGTGTGCATATAACTTATTTCATGGTTTTTTAGTTGCATTCCTTTTGAACACTTCAATATATGCTTATGTCTGTTTTTTCTTATTCATTTACTATTTTGCACTCTGCTGTCTCTTTGCTGTATAGGTCAGGCTTTTAGTAGCAGAAGATACCACCTTGGGAGACCTTCTGGGACTCCAGCTTCATAAAATAGAAGATGAAGTCCAAAGCATAGTTGACAACGCTGTGAAAGAGTTGGGTACTGAGAAGGTTAGAGGTCCCGTTCTTTCCTTCTGTTTTTGCAGAATAGTATGTAACAAACTACTTGTTTGATTGCATTTTGTTTCAAGAAATTAATGATGGGAGTGAATATTTTCAAGTGACTTACCTAGGGAGCAAAATTCACAGCCTAATGAAAATAACTTCTTGTCTGTGGGGTAGTTTACCATCACTGTGAATGAAATATAATTTAATTAAAGTTCTCAACTCAAAATATGAAATGTGAGATGTATAGACAGATGTTTTTACTACTCTTCTTGTTAGAATCATAGAATCATAGAATCGTTAGGGCTGGAAGGGACCTTCAAAGGTCATCTAGTCCAACCCCCCTGCAAGGAACAGGGATATCTCCAACTAGATCAGGTTGCTCAGGGCCTCATCCAACCGGGCCTTGAACGTCTCCAGGGATGGAGCATCCACCACCTCTCTGGGCAACCTGTTCCTAGGTTTTGGCAGAAATCAGCCAAACATGGACTGCCATGGAATTTTCTTACGAAGAGCATCACAGGAGTGGAGCTGCTTTATTAAAGTCAGATGAGCAGCTGCTCGAAATGTTAGATAACAATCAAGTAAGGATTTAATTAATAGAAATACTATTAGTATATCAATATTATTCACTCCCTTGATACACTTCATTTGTTAAAACTTTTTATCTGAATCTTTATTGCAGAGAGTTCTGTTTTCTTCAGATGTTAGTCCTGTGAAATTATATGTATGCTATCTAACTATATACGTTCTAAAAAAATTCTTGTCTCCATGTAGGAGTTAACAAAATTACAGCTTTCTAAGGTTATATTTTCTTTTTTTAAAAGTCATTTAATAATATGCTGTCCATTTGCAGTGTTTAAAGATGTTACAGGAGAATTTGTTACACTTTTATTAGCCTTAGTTCCTCTGTTTGATGAATTATTTTGATTAGTGCAGTTTTTCGATGTTTTTTGTCTTTCTAGGTTCAGCTGCAAATGATTCTGAAAAGTAAATATGTGGCATATTTCATTGAACAAATGAAAGGTTGGCAAAATAAATTAAACATGGCAGATTCTATCATTTCCATTTGGATGGAAGTTCAACACGTGTAGTTTCATCTAGAAAGTATTTTCACTAGCTCTGAAGATCTCAGAAGCCAGCTGCCTGAAGATGCAAACAGATTTGATGAAATCAACAGACACTTCAAAGTTAGTGGTTTATGTCCATTTATATCTTGCATTTGAATTATTTAGAGTGGGTAATTAAATGGATATTTTTAAAATAACACCATATTGACAGCTTAGTTTGAGTATTTCATTGATAGGCTTGTTTCTAACCCACTGTATTAACATTATTACGAACATCTCAGGCTTACTTGGGAGAATATCAGAAGTGGATTTTGCACTTTTTAATAATAAAGTGACTATTTGCCTTGTTTTCCTTTCGCATGGACTGGCAGCTGCTGGTTGATGCATTGTCACAAACCATAATTTGTGACAAATTTCTGCAGGTCATTCCTCACATTAATATCTTCTTTCATTCACTCTTTGTTAGCCTTTTAACCTTCTGGAATCACATAGAGATACAATACTTCTGAATTACAGAAATCCATTCTGCCAAACTCCGTATCATTTAGAACAATGATAGTTGAAATATAAGTTAATGGCCTATCATTTATTATTACCCAAAGGTAATTACAGCAACATAAACATTTGAACTTACATAAAATATTATGTCTTAATTGTTCATTCTGACCAAAGTCACTTAACACCCACTTAGTGAAGAGAATAACTTGTGTGTTATCAATATACCTAGAATTCAACACATGTATGCCAGGGAAAGTTCTCATTGTGTATGTTTCTGAAAAGCTAAGATATGATAATAATCTATAGGGAGGTTCTATGTTTAAAATTCCAGATAAATTTCTAATTGTTTAAACCTGCAATTCAAAAGATGTGGGCAGCAGCATGTCTTAACCATATGCAAAAAAAAAAAAAAAATCTATATTCACACCTTTATAGAAGTTGAGAACCCTGTTAAGAAGAATGAAACTATTCAGGGCATTTAACAGGCATAAGTTTCTTCATAGCGCGTGTTGAAAAAGGCTTTGAGTTTGCACGCATGAGCGGAATTCTTGTACGAGTTAATGCTTCCCTTATGATCTGTCATTTTTATTTTGTTAGAAGAGATCTAATAGTATAATTGGTGGTATTTGCTTTCCTCCAGTGCAATTCTCTCTGTTCATTTTACATTTCCTTCATGTTCAGTCTAACCACTGTCAAAATAGGTGTTTGTGGATTTTTTTATTACATTTTTTTTCTGTTTAAGAAATAGAACCTAAACCAGGCTGATGAGGTCCCTTCTTCCAGCTCTTTTTCCCAGTGCTTTTCTTGTCCCAGTGTAGTACACGGTAAGAAGAAGAAGAAAAAAAAAAAAAAACCTGAGGGAATTTCCACATGTTGCAATAAATTTCTCACACTTCTGTACAGGAGTTGGTGACTGACACAGCAACTACAAAAAATGTGATGGAAGCTACAACCAAGCCAAAGGTGTATGAAAAATTTGAAGCCTTGTGGCACAGGTAAAATTTCCAGTATGATTATGAATTGTTCGAAGTTCTATTCTGGAACAGTCAGGAAATGAGAGCTGTCAGGTCACGTTTGCTTTTTGTATAGGTGTGAGATTATCTGATGATAATTTTTTTGTCATTTGTTGCTTTCTGATGTATTGGACTTTCAGCGCTTTTTATATGATCACTTATATTTGAGGCTTTTGTTCATTATTTATGGATTGCATGATGTAAAAATTGTCAAAGGTCTTAAAAATGTGCTTGGTTTGGATCAAATTCCTTTTTTCCTCATTCACAACCTGGGAGCTGGGAGTCTTTCTTTCATACTTACAGTGGGAGATAGCAGATTATGTACAGCAAAGCTCCTCCTTCAACACACTTAAAGGTATATCTTGAACTTCCCACTGACATTCACTCTTCCTACTTCTAGAGGTGGCGATGTTGAGTCACAACCTGTTTCTCCTTGCAGGAAAAAGTTGTAATAAGAAGTTAAAAAACCCCGAACCTGTTTTTTGAGATGTCACTTTTGTTAGAAGATACCAAGCTAATAGCTAAAGTGCATCAGTCACACATAAATGTATGTGTTTTTTTTCCCTTTCCAGATAGACATACAAGATACCAAGCTAATAGCTGAAGTGCATCAGTCACACATAAATGCATGTGTTTTTTTTCCCTTTCCAGATAGACATATAATTGAGTATTTTGATTCTTAATACTTTTTGTGTCAATACTAACGTGTTTTTATTTTTTTTATCCTCCATACATCAAAGAAAACGTGTGCATCTTAAAAACAAACAAAAAAAGTGACTTTGCTCTCCTTTTTTTCTTTTTTTTTTTTTTTTAATTTATCTGCAAATAACTACCCTGTCATAAAAGAATTCTTTTTCTTGTTCTTACTTTTTAAGGCTGGACTCTGCAAGGTTGAAGGGGAGTTTCCTCTTAACCAAACTTACCTTTTCAGGGACTTTTCTGGCACAATTCTGTTTTCTTGCATTCCTTGGTCTGAATGAGTAAAAAGAGCGTGTTCTGTTTGGGTTTCTAAAAAGGAAACATGTAAGGTTTGCCACCTTCTCTGATCCTTACAGCTGTGTTCATTGTTATTATTTTAAATTAAAAGTGGATTATATTGTTCTGGTTTTCTGTTTGGTCTAATTTCTTCCTTAACTGGGAGGGAATTCTTGGCTTTAGGGTGATTAAAGGCATGTATTGTTAAAATATGTCTTCTTTTCAGACTTTCTCTTTGTGAAAAAACTTTGGCTGAATATTTGGAAACCAAGTGCATAGCTTTTCATCGCTTCTATCTTGTTTCTTCAGCAGACTTGCTAGACATCCTCTCAAAAGGAACACAGCCAAAACAGGTGAACCTCCTTGCGTATTATTGTACTTCATTTTGTCTATAGAAGGGCAAGGTCTGCAGCTAACCATATGAGGAGATAGTATCCTAGAACTTCACCTTTATTTCTGAGAGTTAGTTTGCTTTATAAATAGGAACACTTTGTGTAAGGAAGGTAGTAAACATTTTCTCCCCCCAGCTAGGACAAGCACAGAGTGTTCAGCAAGGAGAGATGAAACCATCACTCTGAGGAGAAATGTTACAAGTCCTGTGCTGTCTCTTTCTGGAAATTTAGCCATGTGTAATTTGCATTTATTTGGATTTTGAGTTGTAGGTTTTCAGGAATTAGAAAATGGGAAAGGTCAATGAGATCATCAAATCTATTCTTCTCACACGGATTGATCAAATTTCAGGCATGCTATGCATAGTGATGATAAGACTGAAAGATCCATGGTCTCTGTTAGGCTGTTACTGACTGAGCTGCTGACCATTGTATAAAGAATGTTTTTGTAGTTATCCTTCTGTTTTCCTCCCTTGAACAATAATCTGCTAGGTTTTGTGACACTTTGAGACCAATTTGTATAAAAGCACAGGCACTTTGATGTATTTCGGAAGCTTTATACTGTGTTATCTACATGCCAGATGATACTCCTCGCCTCAGTGGCTGTCCGGCCATGGCCATTAATTCTCCGAGTACTAGAGTTATTGGTGTGTCTCAGGCAAAGCCTTTTTTGAAAGATGTGACACGTAACAGAACTGATACTTTTCAAGAGGATGAAGGACTTGGACTTGAACATTGAGCCTTTTCAGATATGATGATAGAGTCTCATAGCTTTATCACATGACTTGTGACTCAATCTCAGTGACTTGTTTCATCCACTTACTGCTTTACAACATATGTAAGAAGAGCATCCAAACAAATCTGTTCTAGTTGTCAGGCATAGAGCATGCTGGTGTGTAGACACTGATTTTTGAACTCCACAGTCTTTGGAGAGGTGTGTAGTTACACAAAACATTTAGACCTGGTTAGACAATTTGTGAAATAAGCACTAGATATAACGAATAACAATTTCAAGACTTCTCAGTTTTATATTGAGCTATCCTTGTCCTTCAGACTCTTCTGACGACTGACAATAGTGCAATTAACTCTATTGACTGCTTTATCTGTGACCGTTTTCCCCCAGCTTTTCCCACAAAAGCCTCCTATATAGTCGTCATGCAACAGACAGATAGCATCGCCATGTCAGTCTGCACCACCAGGGAAATCAGAAGCACTCTTATTTGTTCAATTGGCATAAGTGTTCTAATACTAAGGAGAATACCTGGGTTTTAATTTTTTTATTGTCTTTAAACCTTAATAAAGAGATTATGATTAATCACCTGGTCATTCAGTGCATCTTGCTTGCTAAAATCAATTGAAGCACAATGTGCCAAAAGCAGTAGAGTAAGAAACACAATTGTAAAATTAGTGCAAAGACTGGACGTTATCCAGTTAGTTGCTAAGAACTGTGTTAAACTTTGCTGAACCACCAAAGCTTATGTATAGCAAATGTTACCGTGGTAGTCATCTCCTTTAACAGAAATACGCATTAAAGTAGTGTGATTGACACAAATCTGAGGTAAATAATTTCTTTATGTCTGGTATTTTGGGGTGCAGGTGGCCCATCATCTTACCAAACTTTTTGACAACATCGCTGATCTTAAATTTCAAGAGAATATAGAGGAGTCTATAAATACTGCCCTTGGGATGTACAGCAGAGAAAAGGAGTATGTTCCATTCCATGAAGAGTGTGAATGCAGTGGTCAGGTATGTTATGTGAAATTTCTTTCTGGGATTTTACCCTCTTTGGGATGTAGATTAAATAGACACTTTCAATTGCATGAAATGCTGCTTTTTTAAGTGTAAATTTAGAAAAACTAATAATAAAAAAACCTTACAACTATTTTTTCCGAATTTCAAAACATTTTGTGGTCCAAAACGGTGTAATAAACTAATAATTTACTAAATTGTCTAGTTGCCCCTTGTACGTAAGTTTTTGTTGGTTGGTTGTTTTTTTTAAGTGCAGCGTGTTAAGTATTTAAGAACAATGAAAAAGAAAATAAAATGTACTAAAAGCCACAGAACTGATGAAGCGTATGATTGAATATTGTATTTCTCATACTACTTCTTTTTCTGACCTTTTATTTCACCTTCCATTGTACTTTCATCTCTCTTATCCTTTAGCACACACCTCTCCAGACGTCCAGCTCTCTCCCATGTCCCCTGTCAGCTGAACAGGGTTTTAGCTGGTTTTAAGCCTCGTATTTGCTAATTGGCCAGCCAGTATGTGTGCTAACTGGGTAGTGGTAGGTCAGAAAGAACAGATCAGCAGCTTCTGAGACAATAACTTATTGTTCTCAGAACAGAGCTGAATGGATAAGCATTCACATTGCATAAAATCAATGTTGCATGTGGTTCTAATGATTGATTGTCTCAGCAGGGAGGCCCCAGACTGAATGGACAAATATATGCAGCTTGCATCTTGGAGATAGTTTCTCCAAGATACAGCTACGTTTGAGCGCTTAGAGACATAGGAAAGACTGTGTTACCTGTGTTTATTCTGGGTCTATGAACAGAAAATCTTCAGACTTTCAGTTTTGGAGCTCTAAGACAGTATGTCTGTTCCAGTCAAATGGATGTGTAAAACAAAACAATGTCTGGTGTCTCAGTAATTGAGAAGGGCTCCTCTGAGCGAAATTGTACTGAAGAGGTAGTAGGAGAGAGAAAATGGAAGAAAAAAACCATTCTCATTTCAAGTTTGTAAAGAATGTTTATGTGAAGAAAATCCTTTGCAAAGATTAATGAGATGAGCTTCTTATATTGTTAGTATAAAATGTACTATTTATGTTACATGCATAAATTTATGTATGTTGGGTTGGTTTTTTTTCAAAAGGTAGAGTCTTGGTTGCAACATCTTGAGGAAACTGCACACGAAACAGTGTGCCTCTGCAGCATGGAGGCAATACTAGCCTGTGAAGAGACGCAGAGAGAACAGTGGATTTTTGACTACCCAGCCCAGGTTGCACTTACGGGTTCACAAATCTGGTGGGTTTCAGATGTAGAAAACGCATTTGGTAGGCTGGAAGAGGGCTTGATGAAGGATTGCCACAAGAAGCAGGTATGGATATCTTCTTTTTGTTTAATTTGGTGAAAATAAGTACATAAAAAGACATGAGTGGAATATTTAATAATTTTAATCCTGTAGTAAATAAACTGCTATTAGCATCTACTGAAAAAAGAAATACGCCTTTTGTTTCCATTTCAGTTATTTCATGGTCATTGTTATCACATCTTAATTATTGGGTTTTCTGTGCCATTATTCTGAACTGATATGAAAGGTAAAAGCAAAGATACTGCCAAATGTCCACTACAACGGTGTGGCCAGAACAGAACGTGCAACCCATACAAATACAAATATTAAACCTGTATATTTGTGTAGGGAATGATTTTGTTTGTGTCAAACCAAACTGTTTACTTCTAATATTATTAGTTTTGGTTGCAGTTCAGAGGTGTACCTTCTGCCATTTGATTTTTGCTTCACCCTTGTTTACCTCCTGCTTGTTTTTGAATGTTTTTGTTCTGATGTGAGTATTCTTTCTCTTTGTGAAAGCTTTGATAGTTTTGGTTTTCTTTTCCAACCTAGCAAATCTGCCAAAGGGAAATATGAAATAGGAAAGAGACTTTAAAGGGGGGCTGGAAATCTGGTAGAGGTGTCTAAAATTATCCCTGTAATAAAGAAGGTGGATAAAGATTAATTTTTGTTTGCTGTTTCTCATAATACAAGAGCTAATAGGCATCACCTGAAGCTATTAGGTAGCAAAACAGAAGAAATGCTTTCACACAGTGTACAGTTTAAAATACAGAACTTTTGGCTACAGAATGACAGACGTATAAAAATGGTCAAATAAAAGGTTAGCCAAATTTCAGTCTTGGTCATGGGTATTAAATATGATGATAAAGTAAGTAGTGTAGTTTATTTTTGTTGAGTTGGTTTGGGTTGCTTTTGGCAGGGGAGGGTTAGTATTCTGGCTGATGTGTCTGTGCAAATTGTGGCATATGTTCCCAGGACATCCATCTCCGGGACTTTTCTTGTATTCCTTTTGGATTTTTTTTTTTACACAATCTCTGCCAGCTTCTGTGAAAGTCAGAGACTGCTCCATGATGAACCTCAATGTGATCTGGTCAGGCTATGTTTCTGCGGTCACTTTGCAAATAGAGCAGAGCAATGCCTCGTGTTGTTGCTGCTTTCTAAACCTGTGGTGGGGACTTTGGACTGGTTCTGCTGTAAAATGGACGGACCAGGAAAGATCATCTGGACCTCTCTGCAGATGGCAGCTCACTGCCTTAAAGAAGTGGAGCTTTGGGTGTGTTTAAAGGAATATATCAGAAACGTTTCAGGATGCTAGGCAATTTAATTCAAAATGTCACTGTTGATACCTCCTTTATGATATGATACAGAAAAAATAGAGAACTGGTTTTATTTTTGTAAGCGTTTTCAAAATCTATTAAGGCTTAGACTGTGTCTCTCAAATAACTTGTTTTTGTGGAATATTACTTTCTGGGTCTTTAACTCTGTCTCAGTAAAAACAGCACCAGTAGGCGATTTTGTATATTATATAAAAATAATACAGAAAGCATAGTGTTTGAGGTCTCATGAATTCACCACTCATTTTTAAGCCAGAGTTTTAAGACATGTACAAGCATAGTTCTGCCTCACACTAGCAACCCAATAAATTACATCTTTCTATTAAAGTTAGTTATGTTTGCCTCTTTAGAATTACATGCAGTAGCTGTGTGTGTTTTTCTTTTCTATTAATATGAACCATGAAAAATTCCATAGGTTCTTTCTACTGTGTAACTGTATAATCAATTCATATTTTTCAATCTTCCCTTCGTTCCTTTGCCCGTTTTTACAATGTGATCTTTCCTAAGGTGTATTTTCATACAGTTTGGCAATAAATGTTCTCAAGCAATTAGTACTGCAAGTTTTGTGGAGTCTGGTGCATATCTCTGTGGAGATGATAACCACAAAATTTACAATTCAACTTCATGCAAATCTTGTCCTCTATCCATTCTTAAAGTGCAACACCTTGCCTAATTAACAATCTTCAGTATTTGTGTTCATCTGGATTTTCATTGTCTTGGAGGTGATTCAAATGTCTGTTTAAACTCTGATTTATTCTGGCATCTCATGTTTAATATTAGTAAATTGGTACAAAAAGCTAGGTTTTGTGGTGATTTAATTCATAATGTAGGCAGAACTGATTTCTAGTAGCAGTCATGGTAGATGGTATTGGGATCCGTCTGGTCTGAGAGGACTACCTAAATCTTTTCAGGTCACTCAACTAAATGCTCTTATTACCATGCTGCTTGGAGAACTTTCCTCGAGTGATCGACAGAAAATCATGACCGTTTGCACCATAGATGTTCACGCTAGAGATGTAGTAGCAAGCCTTGTAGCTCAGAAGGTATGTGTTTGGATCACCTATATATTACATGCACAGTTTTAGTGGTTTTGAAAGGAATTAGTAGTACTTAAGCCAAGTTTGGGTCTGGATCTGCTCCTGGTGGGCACCAGGACTGTGGAGGTGGAGTAGGTATAATCATGAAGCAGCCTGCTTCAGAGCTGTGTGCTGTGCCTGCGTTTTTGTGGGCTACTGTCTTCTGAATTGAAAAGTTACTGAAAAAAAGTCAGGTGTCAACTTTTACCTTACTTGTAAGAATGCTTCAAACTTTTAGTAGGCTTTCTGTGAGCAGCAAGATACTTCTCTGAAATTTCAGATTACAAATCTGAGTGCAGACAATCCTTGGGCATTGTGAGGATTTTTCTCAAATGTCTTTACTTACTCTGCCTTCAGTTGTTCTCAGCGTGTTTTGCTCTCCTTTTAGAGGCATACACGTACATCTCTAGAGCGAGTCACTCCTCTCCTGTGGTGACTCTTTATAAGTGCATACAATTACAATTTAGAGTGCTTACTTAAACCAATGTGCTCGTTTTATGTGTAACTTTGTTTAGATAGAGCTAAGGTGGCTGGCACATGTTGCTGGCTTGAATGCAGATAAATGTTTCACTGGATGGGGATTGGAATGGGAAAGAATTCTCATTTTTCTTCTGACCTCCCGAGCCTCGGAAATAAAATGGGCTTCTAAGATGGCATTAAGACAAGAAGAAGGAAGGCTTGAGGAATAAAATGAAGCTCGTTCTGGTAAAAGTAATGTCTGCTCCCAGACAAATACTGCATTGTTTGTAAGGAGAGGTCTTGGTTTAATAAGTGGCAATGTGTTCTGCTGTAAGAGTGCTATTAAAAAGATCTTATATTACACTTGCGTCTGTATAAAAGCACAAATGCCTCGAGGTGCACCTAATCCTTTATAATTGGTTGTTGTATGGTTGTATGTGTTATTCATAAGTCACTAGGAATGAGGTGTGAGGCCTGATGACAGCTGTAGCTTTGTGATGGGTCTCATTTCTTTCATCTAAATAGATCTTACCTGGCATAATGGCTCTGCAATGGCTTTTTAGGTCACCAGTTCCTGAGCTTTTGCTTGGCTCGCACAGCTACGCCATAGACAGGACGATGCCCAGAAACACTGTTTTGCCATCTACGATGCTCAATTTCAGTACTTTTATGAGTACTTGGGAAATACCCCTCGGCTAGTTATTACACCTTTGACTGACAGGTAATGGCTGTTACTAATAACAGTGTCTGCTTTATCTGTTTCAGTGAATAAAAAGTTAAAGGTTTCCTAGAAGTTCAGTGTTGTTTCATACCTCATGTATTTTATAAGATCATTAAGACACAATACCTTTGAGCATGTGTGTGCATGTAGGCGTGCATACTTCAGTAACGGTAGGATTTTAATGTCCGTTACTTTTAAAATAACTGAAATGTTTCTTGCATAACTTAATGTTAACTTAATTCAGTATCTAGCCTGAAGAAGAAAATGAGTAGATCTATACCAAGGTTAATCAGGAGTTTTCAGCAAAAGAATATTTTTATTTGTGTATTGAAGTCCAAACCAGTACTTTTTTTCACACTGCATACAATGAAGCTTTTTTCTGGAAATGTTTTGACTCCAAAATGGAATTTCTTGTCAAAGTCAGTGATGCAGAAAGATGCACCCAGCAATCCTGGCTGGCTTAGTGGTTACGACCCTCTTTTGGGGGGGACAATTCTGGGGCTCAAGTCTTTGAAATAGACAAAGTGACAACTACAGCTTCCTGTTTCATGTCCTGTGTGACCACTGATAGGATATTCCTTCTTGCTAAAAAATGTCAATGTGATTGGTTTTCATACCTAAAATGAGCATTTTCTAAGTAGTGCCTGTGGTGGTTTTTGCCCAGCTGGCAACTAAGCACCACACAGCCATTCTCTCAGTCCTTCCTCTGCGATGGGATGGGGAGGAGAAAATATGGCAAAAAGCTTGCGGATAGAGATAAGGACAGGGAGGAATCTCTCATCAGTTGTGTTCTTGGGCAAAACAAACTTAACTTGGGGAAAAAAATCAATTTTATTTGTTACTAATCACATCGGAGAGGATAATGAGAAATAAAACCAAATCTTAAAAAAAATTAATAATTTCCCCTATCCCTTCCTTCGTCCCGCGCTCCACTTGGCTCCCTGTTTCTCTGCCTTGTCCAGAGACACTGGTAGGCTTGGCCTTGGCCAGAGGTGGGGTCTGACTTGGAGCCATGGAAGCTTCTAGCAGCTTCTCACAGGAGCCACCTCTGTAGCCCCTCCTCTGCTACCAAAACCCCGCCACACAAACCCAGCTCAGTGCCACATCATGATTTTACATGAATATGAAAGAGGTTACGTTTGTGGTTTAGGACATTAAATTATAATGAGAAAGTGGAGTCAGAATAAATCACCCATGAAACATAAGGTTTTGAAAAAAACTCTCAACATTGTAGATGTTCTTTGCAATGCTAACAATCACTTTTCTTACGTTCAGGTGTTACATTACACTAACTCAGTCTCTCCACCTAACAATGAACGGTGCTCCTGTGGGACCAGCCTGCACAGGTAAGACAGAGACCACCAAAGATCTAGACCATGCCCTTGGGATGATGGTGTACATCTTCATCTGCTCCGAGCAGATGGATTACAAGGTAAGATGCTTCGTTAAGCAGTACGGAAATAGTTGTTTAGTTTCTTTTTCATATGAAGTTCATTGGAAATTGTTGCTTTCAAGAAGATCATCTTAAATCTTCCACTTTTGATTTTAGTCTGTAGGAAATATCTATAAAGGTTTGGTCCAGACAGGAGCTTGGGGGTGCTTTGAGGAATTCAATTGCATCTCGGTAGAAGGTTCTATCAGTGGTGGCAGTACAAGTAAAGACTATCCACAATGCCATTAGGAACAAGAAAAAGAAGTGAGTATTTCAGCAGTGCTTCTTTATTGTCCTTTGCAGCCTATAAATACTGAACCAGGAAAATCTCCCAAAGTTCCTCTGAAATGCAGTTCCTTTGTAAATACAGGGAGAGACTAGATGGTAACATTAAATCATCTGCATAATATACTATGTTAAAATAACTTTCTCTTCAAAATGTAACAATAAATGTGAGTGAACTTCTGGCCCTACAGGAATCCAATTAAAGCTTTGCTGTTGAAACTCTGTTCCTGTTCAAGTCCTACTACATGAAATCATTGCATCATGTGAGTGAGAGGTTTGGTGGGGCTCAACCTTGCAAGAAATCTCAGTGGTTCTAGGGTTTCCCAGTGTTTTTGAGACAGGAGGCCTTGTGTATCCACTGCATCATGTTCTTCATCCTCTGCTTCCTTTACTCAATACTGCCTGCTGGCCTTTTCAAACCCCCCACATCCCTATCAGTCTCACTTACTCTACATGTGATAAAAGATAATTCCTCCTAAAGACATAATCCAGCCTTATGCACTTTGTTGCTCTAACAATCCAGTGCTGGCCAGAGGAGCCACAGAATATTAAAAGCTGGTGCCTACCAGGGAAATGCCTCTATGTTTGCTTGGTTCTAGTAAAGTTTCCCAGGCGTTTGCTTTTGGCCATTGTGCGAGACTGGATCCAGGCCCAGAAGCAACTTTGTCATCTGACCTCTGATGGCTGGTTTGTATGATGCAGTTGTTTACATCTGATCCAACTGTAAAATAACTGTAGGTATTATCTTTATTACAACAGATTTTTATTCCTTGGTGAAAACATTACATTGAAGTCATCAGTTGGAATATTTATTACCATGAACCCTGGATATGCAGGTCGGACAGAACTACCTGAAAATCTCAAAGCTCTGTTCAGGCAAGTATGCTTTAGTGTACTTTTACGGTATACAAGTATATCAAGTCTACACTTAGACTACATATATGTCACCTGATGTTACTAGCCTTGGTTTGCAGTGAAGTGCAATTTGTGTTTGATTTGGAATTTCTGTGGAAAAAAATCAGTATTCATGTTGTGACTGCCTGTACACTGTAATGACAAGGGAAATTAAATGTGTATCTTGCCTTTTTCTTTTAATCTACTTAAAATTTTCAAGGTACCTTTGAACACACGGAATGTACTTAAATGTGTGCAAGAATATTCACTGTTTTGTGGTAAATTGGAATCCTCACAGCTGGCTTAACCTACTAAAATGGCTATTTGAAAAGTGTCTAGTTATCGCATTCTTCTATGGGTGTAGGCATGCATGTGTTCATAGATGTTTCATAACTACCCAGTGAAAATGGAGCCGCATACTCTGACTCAATAAGATATTGGATATTTGATTGTTGAGAAGCTGTGAAAAGTATAGTGCACAGAAAAAAAACGCATATGCTTTTGGACGCTGTAGGACAGCCCATAATCTTTTTCTTAGAGTATGTATTTATGCTTTATATCTTAACACTAATGTTTCAAGGAAGAAAGTTTTGAATTTAAAAGATCTGACTGTATTTTGCATACTGTGCTTGAGTGAGTTTGTATCAAAATGGTGTTTCTGAGTGTGAATGAATTCCAGAAGTGGTTGCTCTGGCATAATGGGCAGTAAAATCATGCCAATTTATTCTGACAAAGTGTTGGAGCTGCACTTTGAACTATGTGATAATGGTCTTTGACTTAAATGATGCAGGGATTGCTTAAAAAAAGAATTGTTATTTGAAATCCTTGCTCTTGCATTACTCTCTTCACTGATTTAATCAAGACTTCAGAAAAAAATAATTCTGTAATCTCATTTCTCAGCATATTGAAGTTCAATGGGGCAAGCTGCACAGGGGCATCGCCAGGCTGTCTTGGGAGGCACAAGTATAGACATGCTCTCTGGAATCTGTTTCTCTGAGCAGTAAATCCCTTTGATTTTTAAAAGACAGAAATTTAGGGCAGAACCGGGCATCACTGTTGCTTCTGTGAGCAAGTTGAAACACAGGTACTACTTTCTTCTGTATTAAAACTACATCAAGATTTTGGTCTGCTTACTATTTCTGCTTTAGCCATGGAATTCCTGACACCATACTCCTTCATGCTTTCACTACAGAAAGACACAAAGTTTGGTAAAGTTAGAAAGCTGTTTGCTCAGGCACGTCTCATCCTCTTGCCAACCAAACATCCTGCTTCAGATGGAAGGACTGGACGGCAGCAGCAGCAATTAGCTTTCTAGTTCTTTCAAACTAAATTACAATCATTTGTAACAAGCAGTAAGTAACATCTGTTTACAAGAAGGAGGTTAGCATTTGAATTCATGTGCCTCTGCAAAGACAGTCGCTGAATATGACCCTATAGTTGGGTCTTAGCAGACATTGGAGGGAGACACTGAAAGATGCACAAGTGGGTTGTTTTCCTTCCCTCAAGTGGGTTTTTTTTTTTTAGTATTTCACAACTTAGCTGTTGCTTTACCAACCCTTCTCATTAATTGCCACCTAAGATCCCTTCAAGGCAAAGCAGGATTGATGCACGTGAAGGGAACGATGTTGGGCGGCCCCTCAATTCAGAACCTTGCACAAGGGAGGACAGGGTGACAGGGACGCCATCGCTCTTTCTGCATTTGGACAGTCAGCTACCTTGGCAACCACATCTTCCACAGTCAGCTAGATGTAGTATTTGACAAGAGAGCAGGCAGGATTGCTCCCTGTGGCTACCAGGTGTTTCATCTCTCAGTGGACTACCAAAGGATGAAAAATGCATGTGATTATTTTTGTTGTTCATTTTTTAATTTTTGTCGTTCCTTTCTTTTGTTGTTCGTTTTTTTCTTTTTTTTTTTTTTGCTTTTTTCCGTTTCTTCATTTGGAAAGAAAAGAGTAAGGGATCACAGAATCATTTGGGACCTTAAAGATCATCTAGTTCCAATCCTGCTGCCATGGCAGGGACACCTTCCACTAGATCAGGTTGCTCAAAGCCGCATCCAACCTGGCCTTGAACACTTCCAGAGATGGGGCATCCACATCTACTTCTCTGGGCAACCTATTGCAGTGCCTCACCACCCTCATAGTGAAGATTTCTTCCTAATGTCTAATATAAAATTACCTTGTTTCAGTTTAAAGCCAGGGCTTTATTTTTCTTAACCTGATCCCTGGCTGCTCAGACAGTTTCTCTGTAATCCTCCCAGGCTACCTGTCCTTGCTTCCACCCTCTGTAGGCTTCTCTTTTGTGCTGAATTTTGCCCAGGAGCTCCTTGTTCATCCATGCAGGCCTCCCGGTGTTTAAGTCCAACTTCCTCTTTGTGTGGATGCATCGCTCCTGAGCTTGGAGGAGGTGATCCTTGAATATGAACCAGCTTTCTTGGGCCTCTCTTCCCTCTGGGACTTTATCCCAAGGTACTTTACCAAGCAGGTCCCTGAAGAGGCCAAAGTCTGCTCTTCTGAAGTCCAGGGTAGTGAGCTTGCTGTGTGCCCCCCTCGCTGCCCTAAGGATCTTTAACTCCACCATTTCATGCTCACTACAGCCAAGGTTGCTCTTGCACTCCACTTTCCCCACCAGCCCATGCTTATTGGTGAGAACAAGGTCCAGCAGAGCACCTCTCCTCGTTGATTCCTCTACCACTTGGAGAAGGAGGTTATCATCAATGCATTCCAGGAACCTTCTATATTACTTCTGCCCTGCTTTGTTGTCCCTCCAACAGATATTGGGGTGGTTGAAGTCCTCCGTGATAACCAGGGCTTGTGAACGTGAAACTGCTCCTATCTGTCTGTAGAGGGCCTCATCTGCTGGATCTTCTTGGTCAGGTGTCCTGTAGCAGACCCCCATTCTAATGTCACCTGTCCCTGCCCTCCCTTTAATCCTGACCTATAAGCTCTCAGTCTGCTTTTCATCCATCCTAAGGTGGAGCTCCATGCATTCCAACTGGTTTTGACATAGAGGGTGACACATCCTCCTTGTCTCCCCTGCCTGTCCTTCCTAAAGAGCCTGTATCCTTCCATTCTGACACTGCAGTCACAGGAGCCATTCCACCATGTCCCTGTGATGCCAATAAGATCGTAGCTCAGCAGGATATGAAATAATATTAATTAACAATATCTCTACTGAATATAAAGTCAAATTATTATTTTATTTGATGTTCTTTCTGTTAGGGTTTTCTTTGGTTTTCGGTGGGTTTTATTTCATGTTCAAAATGTGCATACTACATAGAGCTGAAGTGTTACCTTTACTTGATTGTTGCATAAAATAAAAAGCCTTTGAAATTAAAGTATGGACTGCTGCCTTTGAGACTCAGGAATTCAGCGCTGTGGCTGATGTCTATAATAGCTCTTATCCATTGTGCAAGGGGCAGGAAAGGCGAGAGGTAACTGGTAAAGCATTAACTCCTCGTATTTGCGCCTAATAAAATCTCATAAGAGAGAGAAGAAATATTAAATACTACGAGCCTGATATTTCTTGTGCAAGCTATTATTCCATTTGCAAGAAGGGTGTTGGTTATGGTAGGCAGAAGATGATATAATTTTTTATAATTGACTGCAATGCATGTAGCAGCCCTTGTTTGGGCTTATGAAGAAATGCTTCTTAGATAATTGTTTACTTAAAAATTGTTTAACAGAGAGGTGCTTACTCTTTTTCTAGACTATATGTTCTTGATTTCTGTCAGAAATATACTTCTGAACTAAATCACCAGTCTTAATTTTGTCGTATCTAAATATGAATGGGGGACAAAAGAAATCTTTGTATCTGTCAGCAGTAAGAAAAGTGCTCTGAGGGACAAATTTGCTGGCTTGTAGCTGACCTGAACACAAAATTCAAGATCTCTTCTCTGCTATTGTGTAACTTCAGTAGTGATTTTTAATGAGGAAATTATTTAGCCTTTGTATTATTGCTTTGTGTTACTTTATTAACTGGAGATTTTTCTCATTTATATTATTAAAATGGCTGTGGGTTTGTTCTAAAAGTTTGAACTAAAGGTTATATTTAAAAAAGAAACAAACAGTGGAGCCTCCAAAGGCAGCCATAACTTCATATAAAAGCATTAAAGCCCTCCAAGAATCAAAGTCCTTCAAAAAACGATGGCATTTTTATCGACGGCAGGGTGTTGCACTGGACTTCCAGACCCTGTTCAGATGCTGGGAGTGTCCTCCATTCCCTGGTGGCAAGTGACAGCACTGCAGACTGTGCCTGCTCGGAGTTTTGTAGTACCTGTCTTGCAAACCCTGCGTTTCTCAGCTGCCTCCTTTGTGTACAGCAATGTTACTGAATACTAACAATCAACAGTGCCTAATTAGCTCCTTTTACTTTGAAGTAAGGTCCTTGTTAGCTTTGACTGACACTCTTAATTGTGACTCTCTCAAGCTCTGTTTTTAAAAATGTTTGCACACATCAGTCATTTAAGTGACTTATTCTTCCCATGTTTAAATGCTAATCTGTGTATTTGGATTATGGGGTTTGTTTTCTTCCTTAGACCCTGTGCCATGGTTGTCCCTGATGTTGAACTCATCTGTGAAATTATGTTGGTTGCTGAAGGGTTTATTGATGCATACCTTTTAGCCAGGAAGTTTTACCTTGTACACTCTCTGCAGGGAGCTGCTTTCTAAACAGTTGAGGGTCTCTTTGGGCTTCTGGGTTTGATACGTGTTAATTAGCGCATGCTCACTTGGAAATAGTGCAGCTGGATATTGTATAAAAACAGGAGCTTTTATGCATATAGTCTTATCTTTTGTTTTGAAGACATTTTAAATCACATGTCCATCCTTATTAAATTGTCAGATATGAATTTAGAAGAAAGTTCTCTTTCCTCTGATCTTGGGACATTTGTAATGCGTTAATTTTTCATGAAATAATTTTATATCACTTCTTCATACCTGAGATGGCTGAACTACATGGTGCTGTTGTGGAGTATCTGTTGGGGAAGAGAAAAACCTTAAAGGAGAGTGGGAGTTACTATTAATCACAAATAATGTATTCTATTTGGAGGAATGTTTGTTTAAGCTTTCCCCAGTAAATACAGTAGAAGATTGTTTGAAAAATGGAAATATAGCATTGCTAAATAACTTAATTTTTATGCTAGGAAGAATTCCTATTCAGAATAGTTATCTTAAAAGTCTACAACTTGTAAGACTTGGAAGGTTTATAATTTCTTCCCTGTGCGTATGCTGTTTAGTCATTTTCAACTGTATAATTTTTCAGAAGATGTTCTTAATATTCAGCTTTATTAGTGGAATAAGAACTTGGAGAACCCTTCAGCCTTAAGCCATAAACTCTAGCTAGCAGGACCATTATGAAAGCAAAAGCAACTCTATTTTCATGCCTGTGTAATTTTGAAATTATCTGTAAATATCCTGAAATTTTCCTGACACGTTTTTGCAGTGTTTCTAGAGATAATTAATTTGAGCCTTGTGTATCTTCAGATATTGATATTGTCTGCTTCACTAGAACAAGGATTCCTCAACTCTAATGCTCACTTTGTCCTGGAGTCATTCTCTGAATTCAGAAAAACCACTTGTACCATTGTTTGTCATTTCAATATTAATAATAGTGACAATGTTTGAAGCAAAACCTAGAACATTCTTGTTTGTTTATTATTTTTATCTTATTTGTCTTTTAATGGAAATAGGAGAAATTAGATCTCTTTGACTAAAATTCTGGGCTGTTGCAGAAAATATACAGCAGTTGAGAGCTCTGAAAATATTGGTCCAACACTGGGGCTGTTAGGGGTTTCAGTGCACCTTTGGGGGAACTAGGATCCGAGCCTATGAAAACTGCTTCAGAACAGGGTTGTCAGGGCTTTCAGTGTATAAGTCGTGGAGGAAGGGACTTCTGGTCCTGTTGTGCAATGGCAAATAGCCTGAATGTCTTAAGGTTCTTTTACATAGCAGGCTGCTGTAAAGATGCATAGCTTGCTCTTTAATATCCCATCAGACAGCAAACTAACAAAAAATTCAGGAAAAAAAAAATCTTACCTGAATCTAAGCAATAGCTCATTAAGCCCAGTATATTCCCAAATTTCCTATTTTTCTAACCAACCCTATGTTTAACTTCTTTGCCTAGGTGTACCATTTGTGAAACGTGGAGACTCATTTTCATTGCAGATGCTCAGTCTCGTTCGTACCTCAGAAAAAGCTGGCAGTTTTTCTTGCTGATGATGAACTGTTCTGAAGTTCTAAATAGCTTTTTATTTTTTCTTCTTTGTCATATATTTTGTCCATTTGATTCACACTCTGTCATGGAAAAGGATAGTGACATCTGTCAACTTTTAAAACCTGTATATTAAGTTTTGGTTCTGCTATTGTTTTTTGTGTTTGTTTGAGTTTTTTGGTTGCTTCTCCCCTCCCCATTTAGGTGATAACAATTTAGGAGCTAATGTTCTTAAATACTATCTGATGGGTAGCCAGTTTGGGTGCTGACAGCAGGGTAGTTGCAACCCCAGATGGGGTTTTAAAATTGAGGGAGGGGTGATGTGTGCACACTAAGGGAACTGTGAACCACCATGAGTGGCGTGATGCGTGCTAACATAAGGAGATGGTGGCCATGTAACTCCTGACTGCAGCCACACAGAGGTCAGAGAGGAGCTAATTATCCATGTTTCCCCAGTTTCTCTTTTAGGAGCTGATCCCACTGCAGAATTAACCATTTGAGCTGCAAGAACACAGGTGTAGCCTTAAATTTAGAGCTGTAATTTCATGGTAGATCCCTTCAGCCATTGCAAAATTGTCTGTCGAGATACCTGTTTCGATCCTATAAGGTGCTGTTGAATTGTTTAAATCTCAAAAATGTTTCAAACTCCTTCTCTGTTTCTATGTTACCTAGCAAGGAAAGGGAA